CGAAGTATGCGCTACGAGCTACGGCTGTGGTATTTATTTGATCTGTTTTTTTTACATGTTTTTTTGCGGACACGTCACGTATCTCTGAATAAATAGTTAAAACGTGTAATACCATGTTGATAGTTCCTTAATTTCTATCGACGTAACCTTATTCCCATACAACGTGCCCAGTCTATGTATAGTAGTCATCTGTTTTGCTCTACCTGGGAAGCGCGTTTAGAAGTTAAGACATTGCATTCAGTGAGTTTTTCAACAAATAACCAATGAGGTAATCTGTCATCTCCTTAATAAAACATTTGATTTATAAGTATAACATAGGTTATAAGTTATCTACACGTATTTCTAGTTGGGTACCTACATTCCCAGAGTGTATCGGAGATGCCATTTCCCGCTCGATCGCTCTCAATCATACCCATATCAAAACCTTAGCGCGATTGCGGAATAAAAATAATATTTCGCTGAATTTAACTACTTCATATTATGATTTGTTTGTTATGATGTGATCTTAAAGTGGTAAAATAAATATTTTTATCGTAATCATGCTATGTGATTTTTCAATAAGTAATTTGTTGCGTAAGCCAATTTAAAGGAAATTTAATACACTGTGATGATATTCATTGGAATAATAATTATTATTATATATTGTTATTGACTTACCTATGATTACGGGTACTAATAAAGTAAGTAGCGTGCTGTGAGAATTTTGTTAACAATTATAATGATGTTAACCATTTGTCAACACATTACATTTTTACAAATCATTTTAATCTTTATAATATCGTTGTTAATGCTTATAATTTTCTTTTAAAATATCCACCTATGATAGATAATATAAAAGACCACCAATTCATAAAAACCAATTATTTAAATTGTTATTGGGCCGATATTAAATCACAGTAACGCATCGCATCTTCTCCGAAAAAATTAATCCATTTCGCGCGCAAAATTGCGGGAAATCAAATTTTGTGAAAAATCTCGTTACCTCGTCGTTTTGCTACATTATGTACATACGTAGAGATAGAGATTTATACGCATATGATGTGAGAATGAAAGAGTAATTTTCTGCCCTGCTTCGCGTAACCGAATGTAATCTCATTACTATTTATGTAAATGTGATGTGTAATTTTACAAAACGTGGGTTTGTGTGATGGTTATGTTCGCAATCAGAACCGAGACCTTACGTCAACATAATGTTTAGATACCTTATAAGTAGGTACATAGTATCGTTTGATGTCTTTCTTGGTTACTCGAGTTCATACAATAACGTTGGTAGTTTGGTTCATGTACCTATATACTTTCAATAGATTTAAAACATACACCTTTATCACAAAGTACAATGTACAGTATAGTGCCAAAATTAATTTAAATTATCTCACTGAGGCGACAGCGCGGAAGGCGGCGCGGCGGTGGCGACATCGAGGTGCATTAGCAAGCGTCACTCCCCTAGACTAGTAGGGGAGCAGACGTCAACAGTTATTGTACACTAAGCATCTTTGACGTTATACCTGTTTCATATGTAATGAAAGACGAAATTATCTATGAAGTTAATGAAGGAGGAACACGGCATCGGTAGCATAGTCTCGCTGGTTTATCAATAGGTAGGTAGGCTCCATAGATATAATAAAATATTTCTGTGGTAGGTTCATTATAAGTATTCTGATTACAGCTTTTTGGATGTGCTTTAACGTGTGCATTAATACACAAGTTTTTAAAAATGAAAATTTCTATTTCTTTTTATTCTTTTTAAAAACATTGCCCCACACTAAGATGTTCTCCTGTGTCATGGGTGCGTTTACAGACATACAAGTTCACGTGACACTCAGACCTGGAACAACAATCTGTGGATCACAAAAAGAGTTGCTCCGTGCGGGAATCGAACCCGCGACACGTTGCGCGTTGGCAGCCAGTTACCCAGCCACCGCGCCAACAGTCATTAAGTTTTGTTTCATTCATCAACAGCTTATAACCAAAGGCCTCTTTTCACACGGAGATGGTTAGAGCATTAATCACCATAATTAGAAATTATAGGTAAGGCCAGGTTTCCTCACGATGTTTTTCTTCACCGTTGGTCAGCGGTGTCTAAATAATCTTAGAAAGTACATACATATAACTTGGAAAAAGTCACATTGGTATTGCCGTTGGTAGGTTTTGAATCCGCACCCTCATGCATGAGAAGCAGCCGTCTTAAGCCTCCGGGCCCCCAAGTCGTCGTTTGTTTTATTGTAACAAAATAATAACTAAACCCTTCCTTGTACGGGTAGGTGTCACTTATATGTAGATTGATGAAAACAAAAATGTCGTTAAATGCCATCTATTTTTTAAGAAAAGAATTATTCTATCACATATCCTTACTATAATATTATAAATCGGAAAGTGAGTTTGTTTGTTTGTTCTGCTTTCACGCCGTAACTACTAAACCGATTGCTTTTAATTTTTGTAGACGTAAAATTAGAAGCCCGGATTAAATAATAGGGTACTTTTTATCCCGGAAAAATTTGATGTTCCCGAGGGAAAACAAAAGAATTGGTATAGATGGCGCCTTTTTATCCTTTTGTGACGCGAGCGAAGCCGCGGGTAAAAGCTAGTATATTATAAATAAAGACCAGTTACTGATAACTCAACCCTCTACAATCTACCGTACCCACAGTCAGTCAACCACGAAATAGACCATGATTGTTAACTCCCCGCTTATTAAATATCATAGCAGTGGTCGTAATCCTGAGATTAAAGCAACGGACATATCGTTTTGTTATTCATGGAAGATGGGATTAACAGGCGTCCTTATATAGACCGTTAAGAACATTAACCCCACCCGAGTACCTACGTTAGCGACAGGTATACACGTGCAATGTAATCCTTGCTGCAATTGAATTAATTAACGTGATCTGTTTCACGCGATCATATAAAATGTTAGCATCTATCTATAAAATAACCAAACCGATTATCGATTAAATAATGATTATCGAATCAAGTAAAACCAATGAACGTTTTCACGGCCTGTAGCTTCACGAAAAACATAATGTAGTTTTTTTTCTGAAACCTTTCTTGAGGTTATCATAAAGATTTAAGTATTTTACACCCAATGATTTAAAAAATACTTTTCCCCACACTAGTATTTTCTCCTGTATTGTGGGTGCGTTTAAAAATATACAAGTTAGTTAGTTTAGTTAGTTTTAAGATACACATGACACCCAGACCCGGAGCAACAAACTGTGGATCACATAAAGTTGTTTCGTGCGGGAATCGAACCCGCGACACGTTGCGCGGCAGTCCGTTGTCCAACCACCGCGCTAACCGTGCAATCAAATTTTTATAAGCTACAATATTTTGATTTACAGTAGGTACCCCGCACTAGTGCCATCTAGTGTTCATAAAAATGTTATGTACTCCTTGCGCTAAGCGCCAATTATAACTTAGTGCTTCAACTTGTCTAGTGATCATATCAGTCCTCAAAAAATAAGGCCAAAAAATTACTTCTGTAGTAATAGTAATGCAGACGGCGGTTGATGCTTCCGATGAATACTAAAAAAGCCGGTATAGACTGCTCATAGTTTTAGTGAGTACCTACTTACGCTTGGGTCTGCCGTCTAAAACACATTTATCAGAAAGCACTCCTCCCTGGTCTTTATCATATTTATGTGTAATAAGATACGAATTGTGAAATGCACGTTACAATACTCGCAGGAAGAACATGGACCTACATGTATTTGTATGTTGTACTCTGCTATCCTCACATGGTAAGATCCTATATATAAACTACTATAACTGAAAAGTTGCAAAATATAATAGTAAAAATTATTGAGGTTATTTCTCAATTAATAGCATTTATTAGTTAGTAAGTTACACGAGAATATGATTCTGTTGACTTTTAAAATTGCAGCTGGTTGATTATTGTTTATCTGTGCTCGTTTCCTCAATTTTGACAGTTCGCAGCTGGTGCTGTTGGATTGTTTCTGTTATGGATTTTTGAGACCTAAAAGCGTAGATAGTACTTAAATTGTGGCGATAACTAAGTAATATTATCTAAATTTATTACATTTGTAACAGTTTTTATGTATATTTTTCTTTTGGCACAATGTTTAAGGTAAATACGTTGTTTTTGCATTCTATGTATGCGCAGAAAATGTGTATTGTATACAACATTTTTACTTAATCTGCATGAAATATAAAACAAAAATAAAGGTGTGTGTGATTTTAAATTATGATTGAGTCGTATTTTGGCCAAATAATCGGATGAAATAACATGTTGTCAATTTTCAACATGGCTCACTCCGGTCATTTAGTATGGTAGGTACTTTTATGTATAATCGTGATACGATAGGTACGTGACAGACGACACTAATCAACTTTAGTTGCAATCTTACAAGAAATGTATAATTGGTACACTCATTTACCATGTTACATAAGATATTTTCACTGTTTGATTTAACAGGCATTACATGGCTATACTATGTGCCAACCAAAATGCATGTTTACATGTATGCTGTTGCATTACAAAGCATTATTCGATGAAATTATGTCCGTTTTGTTTTCAGATCTACTACAGCCAATTTTGTTCAATGATCACATAAAATAAAAGGTAAATCATTAACTTGCCTACACATGCTTTTACACATTTGTTATTTTTATTTTATCAAGTTAAAACTATATCTTTATAAACAAAACAATGTATATCAGTTTGTGATAAACAAGTGAAACAAATAGCTCAAAATGTATGTCAATCATTTTACAATTCATCAGTACTTAGACAATTTTCTCATACATACTTGTTAGATAATTGTATAAATAAATATTAAACATTTAAGTGCAATCTTAACCTATTACTTATTACAATTTTAAAATGCCATAAAATAAAATCTTGAAATCAAACTGGTATAGACAAATATCATAAATAGTATCTATACATTTACAGAATAAATTGGTACACATTTTAATTTTAGAATTTTGGTTATTGGTCCACAGTTTATTACTGATAACTTCTGTTTTTTTAGCATAGGGCAATGGACCCAGTTATAGATAATGAATGGCTGGGATGTAAGAATGAAACTATTGACGAAATGCCAAATGTTGGCAACATCGCTCGGAGCTGGCAATGGAGGGAGAGAGGTATCAACCCCCCACACTGCCCTAATAACAAAACTGTACTTGAAAACATGGCTGAGGACATACTCGTGCAGAAACCCCTTCAAATAAGAGTATGATTCTATTACTTATTGATACTTAATTAATAATATTCTGTTGATTTTAAAGACCATGCTGTGTAACTAGTATTCTACTTTCAGAGCTGTGACTTACCTGGCTACCCCAGATCTACATTTTTGATGGTTTTTAGTCCAGATGGGTAAGCTTATTCTTTCTGAAAATACTTTCTGTAATCTATACCCATTTCTTCATATTTACTTATTCAATTTGTATATTTTACTGCTAATAGAGGTACTAATGTTAGTTTGAAGTGTTGATTAAATTAATCATAACATTAGTCAATTTAACTGTGGGTTTCCTTAATTAAACTTAGATTTCATTCGGTATTTAGTGATTCTTCATTGCAATATAATTATTTGCTTTTAGTACGAAAGTAGCATCGACACATGGGAACCATAATGTGTATGTGTCTGAGCTGGCTAGTGGCAAACATGTGCGGATACTGAGGGGACACCCTCGTACTCCGTGGTGTATTGCCTTCCATCCGTCTCACCCCTTGCTCATAGGCTCTGGCTGCCTCGGAGGACAAGTCAGGGTGTGGGATATTGCAAGTGTGAGTTTTATACTTATTCATGTTTCAAATTCATTTGATTAACATTTTGATTAATTTTACTAGTTAAGTAGAGTAATGGAGCAATTTTAATTTTTATAATTAGACTATTTAATGTCAATTTGCATATATCAAATTAATATAATGTGTTGTATGTTACAGGGTGGCAGTGAAGTCTGGAATGTTCGTAACGAAACTGTCATAGCGTCGATAGCTTTTCATCCCCGGGAACAACTGCTGGTCATAGCTACATACAATGAGTTATATTTTTGGGACTGGAGCCAACCAGCTCCGTTCACCAAAGTGTGTACTAATAATGTCAATGAAAAAGTGAGGTATGTAAGTGAAAAATAAGTGAGGTTTAGGCCTTACTTGCAGTTGCAGGCACTTAGTATTATTAATCTTCTAATCAATAAATTGGAATTATAAAATAATACGATTTCTAAAAAGAAAATAGCGACATTCAGATGCTTATTCCAAAAGTAAAATGTCGTTAGTGTTTCACTTGTATTAAATATTATGCATTCTTCTTAGCTTGTGTCTTTCAGATATGTGGCTTTTGACGCTCTTGGGTACAAGCTTATCACTGGCATATCACTGTGGGCTTGTTCAGGCGGGCCTATCAATAACTCTACAGCGGCACAAAACCCTCCTGTTGGTCCAACAAACAACCCCAATAATAATAACCCTAGAAGAGATGACTCGGACGAGAGCCCCGGAACTAGTCGCCAGCAGGAGAGCAATGGCTCTGCCCAGGATATGATTGTGAACTCTTACCAAAATTTGGTACAAAGATATGATAGTTTAGTGCGGAATTACCAGAGACTTTTCATGGTACGCCATCGATTAACCAACACACCTCCACCACCCAATACGGTAATGTTTACATTTATTTTTATTTGGAGTCGTAATATCTAAATAGCTTTAACTACTAGAATTCTCTTTTTAATTGTGTTATGTCATGATTTCAGACTGATCGAGGCACAGATCCTATGGAAACTGATGTAGGAGTCAATAGCTCAGGAGGATACACACGACCTCAGCGTAGCTACACTGCTCAAAATGATGGTAAATGCTTATCATATTGATAAACTCGTATATCATTAAACATTCAAATCTAAATAACTAATGTCCGATTTTTCCAACAGAGGCCTTAGTACAAGTTTATTTTACGTTTAAAGTATTCGTAACGAGTACGCGTTCGGCGCACTCATTGGCCGGCGCCAATGAACCAACCAATCACAGCGCCGAATGCGTACTCGTTACGATTACTTTAAACGTAAAACAAGCTCGTACTAAGGCTTCAGCATAATTCATCTGCTGTTAACTGAAGAATAACTGAATATTTGACAATTCTTCCATACGAGAAACTGTCAATTCTATTCTACAGTTAAGAATTAGTTTAGAAGGATTGTCAAATATTTAAAATAAATATTCCTCAGATAAAAATTATTTGGCGTTGGAAAAATGGGTCCTAAGTAATTATTTAAACAATGCTAACCAGGATGGTTTTCATATAATTTCTTATTAACTATGAGGTACCCGGTATAATATAATAATAATAAATGCTATTTCAGCAGAGCCGGGTCCTAGCACGTCTCGCAGCCAGGACCCAGTAGAAACTAATGATGGAGAAAACAGTCGCCTACTTAACTTAGAGGTGTTGTCTATTGATAGCAACCCCCAAAGGTATTATACTATTATATTAATCAGGCAAGCAGTTGATACAAACTTACATCTTGTAATTATAAATAATAATTAACTAATCATGATAAAAATATTTCAGAAATACAACTTCATCAAATCAAGAGCGTTCTTCGTTTGGATCACGATCGTCCGCCTTCCAACCTTTGAACTCGGATCGATCACACAGATCTATGGAGTTCGAGAGTCCCAGGCTGTTACCAAATCCATTCTCTTCATCTAACGGGACACCGAGACCGACCAGAGTAACTTTCACAGAAATGCCTGCTGCCAGTTCCACGAATACTTCACGTACTAGCATTTTCACCTCTTCTCGAGGATCTTCTCTGGGCCGAGATTTTTCTCTGCGTCGAAGAAACTTTACTCCGGTACAACATAACGAAACCTCTCAAAATGATCCTGCTACAGCATCAGGTAGTCCTTCTTCATTGCCGTTTGTACCTCGGAGAACGTTCCAGTCTAGTACATTGGCTGATAGTCAGCCATCAACATCAGGTACTTCTACTCAGAGGCCAACAATGACTAACTCATCCACACAGATGAGCCCGCAGACAGCGCCAGTTGACGCACAAACTATTAACGAAAGTCTTGATTTAATTCGCGATATTCTCCGTGACTCTGGAACAAGGTTGTTAAACTTAATAACGAACATGTCCCTGTCGACCATGGCGGCCGTGGAGCGCAACATGCCGCGGCGCGGGGCGGGGGCGCGCGCCCACTCCGACGACGGCGAGGCCGGGGCTGCCGCCAGGAGAGCTCGTCCTCGCGTGCGCTTGTTCAGCTCTACGTGGAGACGGGAATTTTTGTCATCCAGTTCCGATTCTGATAGTGATCAGTCTTCTGAAGTCAATATTTTTAGAACAAGAAATACTACATTTCAAGAAGACGAACCCAGGGATCGTGTAAATGCATCGACTTCTTCCGAAAGGCTACCACACCCTACTGACAGACTGGTATTCGAACTAAACGATGAATTACGCAGTGGTGGTTCTAATAGAGATTCCGGCCCATCGAGGGAACCAGGAGGTATCAATGTGTCGTTGTCTAACAATAGGTTCCGCGTCCGGACACAAAGCGAAACTTCAGGCACTGACGTGGCGTCCTCGCCCGCACCCGCGGGATCGACATCCATCGGTGTAGGGACCTCGCCCCCAACCGAGTCTGCAGCTACTGCAGCTGGAACTTCTTCCTTTACTGGTGCCACTAGTGCTGGCCAGGGTGGGAGCACCGCTGACACGCCTGGACCATCAGGCCAACGTACTCAAAGTACACCAGGCTTTAATCCTGACAGACCATCCACAAGTAGAGATGACTTTTGGAATAGAGGTGGTGTAGTTCCACCTGATGAGGCTTACAGAAAAGTTAGAAGCGGAGTCAATGCACTGCAGAAACATACAGTTCAACTGACGAATCTGTGGCTGCGGGGAAGTCGCGTTACTATGAGAGAATTACGCGGGATGTGGGAGACATTACGTCGACGTATAATTACGCTTCATAGGGAAACAGGAACACGTGCTGTACCCGGTTATTACACAAGACCGTTACTAGATCGTTGTATGATGTTAACCGACATGGCAGAAAACTTTACACGCTCTACGAGAAACCCGAGAACTACCGCAAGAAACGATGATGTTGATAGAAATTCAGGTCGCAATGCGACGGCTAACTCTAACAATGCAAATAATACCTCAACCGAGAGTGAACGAAACACCACAACCGGCACTGGAACCGAAGGCAGGCCAGCGCAAGGTGGACGGTCTGCTCAAACAAGATCGTCACCGAGTATGCGATCATCTCCGTCCTTGAGAAGAAGATTGCAATCAAACCTCCGCTGGCGCCCTGAGGATGAACTTAGAAGGCGGTGTCGTAATCCAACAACCGCTTACCGCATAGCAGCGCGGTTCACCAACCGATCCCGTAGAGACTTCGCGCGTGCTATAGAAATAAGCGCTACCCGACACGAAATACGGATGAGAGCCATGCAGGTTTTATCGATTATGTTTAATATGATGATGATGTGTCTAGAAGAACCAGGGCTTAGTCAACTTATCATCAGCATGTTACGGACTCTGAAACGAGCTTTAGCGTTAACTTGCCTACTTGTTATGTCCAATAGGAATAACGGACGGCCAGCTACGAACCAAGCTCCTGCACCACAACGTGTAGAATCCTTAGATGTTGTACGCATTCAAAATGTTGACCATAATGTTGACGTGAACGTAGATGGGCCCGACGAACAGGCTCCTAACAATGCACAGAATGTCACGCAACAAGAGGCGACCCGACTACGGCAGACAGACAGTAACAGTACCGAGACTCCGTCTACATCGGCGTCTACAACTGAAACTGTCAAAACAAACAATAATAATACAAATCCACAAGAACCCTCAACTTCCACCTCCACTACTAGAGATTCACAAAAATGGAGCGATCGTCTTGCCGTCCAAATCGCTGCAGCTAACAGAAACAATTCTGCAACAGCAAGAAACAGAAGAGATTTGTATATGGAAAGTAGGAGGTTAAAAGCTTTGCATAGAACTAATCCTACTGCCCATCCTCTCATTAGAAAGAGGGTTTTACCACCAGTATCAAATTACAGAATACCAGCATTGCGAAGCCTTCCCATGCGACCCGGCGTAACAAGATTCAGAAGTCCAAGAGTAGATGCATTAAACTCTAACGAACCTGTAGCGGGCCCTTCAAACGCTCCACCTCCTGGAGAAAACGGTAACTTACAAGAATCTCCTGGTAGCGAGCTGATGAACGAGTTTGAGCACAGGGTAAATTTCATACGAATAGCTCACATGCAGGCTGTGAGATTAAGAAATGCAGCCAGAAATAGATTTAGACGCCTACAGACGATACGTCTGTATACGCCATCGTCGGTTCGAGAGATGTTCTCTCTACAGGCAAACAATGGTGACACTCCTCCAGACAACCGTTCGCCAGGCCCGAGCGGGTCCGCGGAGGGCGGCGGCCGGCACCCGCTGGCCATGTTCCGGCCCCACATCCTGTCCTCGCGCGCCGACCCCGGCGGCCGTGACGACCTCAGCCACCAGTTCCATACCGTACTCAACAACGTCGCTATGCCGCTCATGCACATGAGCGACCTGCCCGGGAACGATGCTCCTGGCACACAACGACTACCCAGGATACACGAATATCTGCAACCCATCATTTTGGCGCAGGTAACTCAGAATTATTAGTTTTAACTCCTCAATACATATTTTAAAATAATCATCCTTTGTTAGAAATGGTGTAAAGTCGTGTTTCATTCTGGAATCTGTCATCTAGTTGAAAGCATCCCAAGTGTTGACTTCATTGGATCGTTTTGTGCCTTAGAACGCTATGGTAGTGGAGGATGAAGGTGGCCACGGTGAAGGGGGCGGCGGCGGTGGCGGTGGCGGGGGCCCGGGCGCACGCCGCCTGGCGGGGATGGCTGGCATGGCGGGACTCTTCGACGCCGGCATCATCTCTGAAGCACTGCCCGCACCCTCACACCGCGTGCAAGCTTGGGACTTTACTACCGGCCACACACCCGAGATATCTGATAGTAAGTTTCATATTTTAGCTTCAAACATAAGCTGGTTAAAAGTAGGTTTACCATTTTGTTCTTTCTTAACAAAAAAATATGTTATCAGGTACTAAGAATGTAGTGGTCCAGCGATGTCGCATCCACAATGATGCCAGTATTGACATATCTAAGGATGGTAGACTACTGGTGGCCCTCCTTCCGGTGCCTAGACTGAGGAACACAAATCATTGGCTTGGTGAGTTATTGTAAAGCAGCAATAGTATACAGCAGTTTAGTATAAAGACGGATGAAATAAATACATGTGTGGCATGGCAGGCGTGTACTCGCTAGAGTGGGCTCGCCTGGGGCAGTGCCTGCACACGGCGGTATTGGAGCAGAGCGCGGTGTCGGTGGCTCTGTCACCCACGGCGCGCCACCTGGCGGTGGGACTGGGCTCGCGTCGCTTCACCACGGCGCCCAACGCACGCAGCAACGTTATCGCCCTGTTATACAAGCTCGACCCACTCGGTACGTACCTTACACCAGCTAACACAATTTTCAAACCGTATCATATCCTTATATCATAATGGGAAATTGAGTCCTGCCCCAAATCAATTAATTACTTCATTTCCGATTATTGTACACTAATAAATATTTTGTTTGAATTTTTAGAAAGTTCCAGCCGCACGGGTCTGTCTCCTATAAAAGAGTTGGAACAAAATTGGGAACATGGCTTTACTAGCCTCAATTGCCTCCGCTGGGCACCCCAACCGGGGCAAGGGCTTGTCTATGCCAACAACACTGGACAACTCATTGTAATGAGCTAAGTAGAAGTATCATGACATTTGATTACAAACATAGACTCTGGACACTGTATATCACTGCCACACTGACTGCTGTTTTTGTGACATTCAGTAAATTAATTTTTACGCATTTGTGGCAAGTTATTCAAGTTTATAACTACTTAAATTTCTTCTGTTTATAATTCATAATATAATTAGAATAAAATCGTATTTGAAAAATATCTTTAATAGTGTCAGGGCAGACTTTATTCGATTTTAAAATACATAGTTTGTAAAGTCCAATACCAATATTCTAAATAAATTGTAATTGATCTCGTGAATTATTGGATTGGAACTGATTGCGCAAGAAATGTTTGTGGTGTGATAGGTAACTCAAACTAATTGTTATGGTTATTGTTCCAAATTATAATTATAACTTCAATGCTTGTATTACTTAACGCATTAATAATGTTTAGAATACAAATGTGTATCGATGCGTGTGACTCGTAATACTTGATTGAAAGTTAGATTCGTCGCCAGTCTTTAGATATTTATTCTTAGTAATAACTGAATTCTATAAATTCGTAGCACTTATATATTTTTTAAGACTTTATCCCTTTTACATAGGTATATATCGTTTGTGTTATTGTTATGCACTACCTTCGATATTTCGGGGTAAAATTATTTATGTTCTTTATTAAAATTCCATTACAAATGTAAATGAAATCATGTCTCGCTATTGTAACACAGTTGTTCATTTTTTTTCTTTATTCTTCTGAAGGTAGTGTGTTTTAAGTTCTTCCATTTCTTATATTATAATGCAATTCTGGCGCGGCGCCATATTTTAAGTTAAATAAAGGAGTTTTTCGGTCCTAATTGTAATCCGCCATTATATCATTTTTTTTCTATTTAATTAACCATATTTATTTTTATTTAAAACAGTTTATAAAACATCTTAGACTTAAGACTATTTCTATCCGATTCGGTTTAAGTTCCATACTTGAAAATATTATATACGGTTATCTGCTAGGCTATTCTGTGTCTATGGGCTATTTTATTGGTTGTCAGAATAATCTCGACCAATGACAGGCAAGAATGCGATAGAGCTCAGAATTCAATTGACTTCTTACATAATAGTCTAGCAGCTTGTAACTTCTAAACAAATGTCCGGATTCACCAAGCTTAAGTCTGAGACTGATTTTCCCGCGTTATAGACTGATGAACGATTCAACCAGGGTACGACGGGTAGTTGTCAAGTGTAAAACTTGAAGTGGGACATTTATTACATTATTTATTTTTAAATTTTGACTTGTATTTTATTAATATGTAATATGTTTACTACAACATTAAAATACCAACGTTCGTTTAAAGCCATCACTATTCACATCAACACTCATCTTATGTTTGATGCCAAAACGGAATTTGAAACTCGCTTGACTACTACATTGGGTCGAAACCTGTTGGAACTAAAGAAGCATTAGCAAGTCGATATACCATGGTTACATTACTTTGATGTACTAACACTAGTTGTTTTCATTTGATGGTACTTACATTCTTCTGCTTTAACTTCCGCTGAGAAAATACAAAAGTATGAAACTATGTAAATAAACAATACATCTATCATTGGTGGGGAGCAAAAACATGGAATTTGACACGATTTGTATGGCTATACAAATTTTATCAAAGTTTTAACGATGGCTAAGCAAAGAAGGTATAGATAGTTTAGCAATAAAGTTTGAATTCCCATGTCTGACATAAAAAATAAATTATCGTCAGCTTTACACACAATCAGCAGAGAGAGGAGAGCTTGAAATACTTAATGGTAAAGTTACTCACTTAGATGCTATGTGATTGTAGTTTTATGTTTAATATTGACTTAACTTTCATGAATTTGAGGCTGGTTTCACTAATTCTGAGTAGCCACAATCTACTAATCAGTTTTTGAATGAAATATCTGCTAGTCAAAATGATCAAGGAGTAGTGAAACTGGCCCTTAGTAATTATGTGGACGTAGGTCATTCTCATAGCCTAAGTAATCTCCTGGTTTTGTGACTACTCTATGACTCATTGCTTATTTATCGTGTTAGTGAGATTATCAGGGTTTCTTATAAACCTAAATTGTTTACAATGTTGTACTTACCCTTATATTTTTAACTTGTATGACGACGTTTTTTCAGGTCAAGTCTAGAGAAGACAATGAAATTTACCATTGCTAAATACTTAGTAACAACTGATAAAAACATTCTATGTTAGCAACTTAATATTTAATATATTAACTTTCAATACATTGAACGTACATACCATATATTGAATGTTTTAATTGTTTCCCCATGCCCTAACTACTTGAACTCTGGTGGACTAGATACATTGATATTTAATCATAAGGGATCACAAATTGGGTCTTTTATTCTTCAAGTGAACATATTAGGTGTATACTATGAATTAAAATCTTTGCATAAAGTCTTATTACATGATTTCAACATAGAAAATAAGATATTTCATTTTACTAATTTTTTATATCTGAAAAATACTTGTTTCCTGCAATACTTTCTTCTTGTTTTATTTAAAAATCATCAACATTTTCAATCATCACTTATATTTTTATTTTTCTAATAGTGATGGTAGATGAAAACCTATCTATTCCTAATAGTCTTTATTATAGCATCCTTGCTAACTAATCTTTATTAAGTGCAATGTTTTCTATACTTTTAACACTATTTCATGCTATACTATGCTTGCTACTCTTAGAAAGCAAATACAAAGATATGAAACCTAGTCTATTCAAACACTTGTTAAGACTAAAACAAGAAACTAAATATTACAGTAAATGTATTATCTATTATTCTTGCGACATTTTCTGTTCTATTCTATTCTACATATCAGTTACCTTGTAGGATCTCACAATTATATATCTTACTATACTATCTTAGTCCTGTTTCACAAAAACATAGTCATCATATATTCGGCGGATAAACTGTCTGACCTTTTGCTGTAAATATTTTTATTTTTTCAAACATTTTGTGATAATTTGTAAGAATAGATTTAAAATACAATGTACAGTTTTTTAAATAAGATTCTGTGTACAGATCCTTCATGTGTCTAATAAAGTCCTAATAGACAACAGAAGTGTTTCATTTCATCCCAGCTTCCATCCTGTAAAGGGGTTCTTAACTTTAACATTTGTATAGAAAAAATAAATGAGAATGATATAAATATTGTATTTATTCCGTTTCTATAGAATGTAATTGCATTAATGATGCTGACAAAATAATAATTACACATTAAAATATGATACAGAAATTTTGAAAACTTATGTTACCTATCTATAAATATTATTCAATAAAAATATACCTGTGAAAATTTAGCGAACATGTATTAAATCAAATGAATTAATACTATGCATGAAACAAATGTGTTAAAGACAATAAGAGTATAATAGTCTAATGTTCAAAGTAAATAATGATAATATTTCTTGATGTAATTAAAACCAATACTGATAAGAATGATATACATATACAATATAAAATATATTTTCCTTCATGTTCAACAATTTATACTTCTGATATTGATTTAAATACAAAAAATAAACATTACAAAACGCTCCAATTTAAAATGTCATATATACAAATCTCCTTCAAAGATCATGTTTACCTGTATTATTTTAGTCATTAACCGAAGATAATATAAAAACTTAGGGAACTTGTAGACTAATGTGACAAAATATAAAGATAAATATTTCGATTGTGACTCCGAAGCTGTCACTAAACACGTCATAAAAACTAAAAATGGTTTTAACAACTTACAAAAGATATAAGTCAAACCATAAGTAACACTAATTCCTACAATTGTTTATTAAAAATGTTAATTTGCTCGTAGCACAAATATACTTTCCCTGACTCATCACAGACCAAATGTAAAATCTATTTAGATTTCCAATGTTTATTACTGAACCTTGTGTCATAGCGGCGCCGCACAACACCCTCTGGTGACTTAGAAGCATTTAAATATAATAGCATCTATAACTAACTTCTTTCTGAGGAGGAAGTGGCGATTTAATGAAATGCAATAAGTGTTAGTGTTCCGAAGGCTTGAGTTCTTTAATTTGCTTTATAAGGTAAGCCTTTTCATCATTGAACTGCTCATCCTCAGAACGATCTGTGTGGAATTTGGTGAGGAAGTCTACCAATTTATCTTGATTCCTTAGCAAAATATCCAATATTGGTTTAGGTTTATTAGGGTTGGCTACAAATACCTGAAACAGTAACAAGTTTATATCAAATACTGTTATGTATAGTCAATTTCAATCATATGATAACAATTAATATTTATTTACAGCCAATACCACTTAATAGTTACCTTAAAAACATGGAAAGCCTCAAACTGAATGTTACGTGACTTCTCTTTCAGCATATTCATCATAAGCTTAAGATTATCGGGGTTGGTGATGTAACGTGTCATTATAGAGAAGTTGTGGCGGTCCAGTAACAGTTCTCCCAACAGTTTCAGGCTCTGCCGTCGAGTTACATAGTTCTCAGAATTGAGCAGTCGCTGATAATGACTGAACACTTTATCATAGTTTGTTTCTAGAAACTCAGCACACAACATTTTATGTCGCGTTAGCAATTCCTGGAACATAAAAAGAAAAAATATAATATTTTTCCAACATTTCAAATATTACTCATAATCATAAGTAACAATCATGAAGTAGGTACATGAATAATCTATTATGGGCACTTTGCCAATTCTTGTTGTACATGTTATGCAGATTTTTGTAGTACTTTACCATTGCAATAGGTAATTGATTAAAATATACATATAAAACCAACCTTAAAAGTAGAAAAGGCATCTGAGGCAATATCAAAAGTGGAAACTTCTACATAACGGAAGAAATTGTAAAAATCATCTGAATACAACATTATTTTAGCCAAAGCCTCATATCGGGCACACTCTCGTAGCATTGTTCCACAGTTGGATGCTATCTCCTGATGTTCATACCTGGAAAAGAATGCATTAAAATTATGTTTTATTTAGCAAAAATGATATTGCAATAATCATCAAACACATTACAAGTTTTTTAATTAAACTAGAATTGGAAACCATTAAGGAAAATGGTTCATAAATTAGTGAAATAACATTTTACCCACCCAGACATCAAAGTAAACAGTATCTCAGGCTTGGTGCATATGTACTCAACTGTGGGAGATCTGGTACCAATCTGACGTCTAAGCACATTGTTGAACACTTGGGCAACATCCTTCTTGCCTTCAAAGTCAATGCGGTTTAGATTCTATAGACAAATAACATGAGTCATTTAATATGATAATACATCACTTGACAATAAATATTGATTGTATATGCAATTATCTGATACCTGGATGAGAAGTAGGAGCAAGTTAGTGTTGTACAGTTCCTGAGCTAACTGTGCTACTATGATATCCGTTTGTGGTTCGGCGTCGGAAGTGCCATATAGCATGTTCTTTATCAAAACCTATTGACACAAAATCAACACTTAAAATTGTCCACTTAGTTACCAATCTAATAAAAGAGCACCAATCATTGTTCAGCAACAAAACACTTACCAGATTTTTGCTTACATCTTCTTGAGCTTTTTCGGCTTTCTTATCACCCCTTTCTAAAGCAGTAACTGCATCTTTCAATGATCTCACAAGCTCCGCTGGGCTCTTTTGAGACTTACCAAAAAGAGGCATATTCTTTCGATAAAATAGACAGATGATCTAAGCAATACTGTCTACATAAGATTGTACCTGTAACCAACGAACCAATGCGTATGATATTAACACAAAATCAAGTATTATATGCGATAGTTCTTGATATTTCACGAGAATGCAGGAGAAACGAAATTTGTCAAATTTATAAAACGTTTGCCGACCTGGCGTGAAGACACTGAACTATAAAACAATGTTCAATTTGATTTAATTTTACTTAGATTGATGATAAATCCACGAATAATACTAAATATAACTCACTTTCAGATTAATTATTACAATTTTCCCTAGCAAGACAGACCACACGAAACGAACAGCTGTGATGTCAATAGAAATCTGTCTTGCCAATTTATAAAAAAGTCAAATGTAAAGAAAATATTCTCGTATATCGTACTTACGTTGGCTGCATGCTCAGATGACTGACTGAGATGACTATAAACACGACTACGACAGTCTATCCGCCGTTTTTCATGCAATTTACAATTTATCAATTATTTTAGTAAAGCAGTGTACAATAACATAGTACTACTTAACGTTGTTGCCATAATGTACGATTGTACAAATACTAAAATTAAGGGAAGAAGTCATGAATAACACAGTTGTCTAAATTCTAACTCTGACCCGACACCCGACACTATTGGTGAAGATTGATGCCAGGAGAAGGCACAGACCATTCAAGTCATATTTAAGATGGTGCAGTCGTGCAATGCTGTGCAGTTAAATCGCACAATGCATAGCCAGCTTAGTAGAATCCGTATGCACTATTGCCAACCTCTCGGTTTACTCTATGAAACATGATAACGTGTCAAGACGTAAACGTCAAATGAAGTTTTAGGTTAGAAAATTCTTCTTATTAGAGTTGTAGCTGTTAGCACATTTTAAAACACTACTTATAAAGTCATGGCTGAAACTGCTAGTGAAAAGTTATCAAAAAAGTGAGTATTGTGTGATTAAAAATGTTTGCTCTCAAGAACTTTTGTACCTTGTCTTTAAAAACTAACAATTTGATCAACCGATGCGCCAATCTGTCGTCTGCAGTCAGCAAACGGTTAGTAATATTTCATAGTATATTATGTTCATTAATAATACTTATGCGTTATTCTATATTGTCGTTTTAGTGAATTGAAGAGGCGATTGAAAGCCGAGCAAAAGCTGAAAGAAAAGGCTGAAAAAGCCGCGCAAGTTCCCACTCCCGCAGCCGACAAGAAGTCGTCGGCCAAAGCCGAAGAGGAAATCAGTCCTAATGAGTATTATAAGTTGCGAACTGCAGCTGTTGCAGCTCTTAAAGAGGGGTCTAAGGAAGACCACCCATACCCTCACAAGTTCCATGTTACAATATCTTTAGAAGAATTCATTGAAAAGTACAATAATGTCAACAGTGGTGAAGTTCTTGAGAATGTTACACTCTCTGTTGCTGGTAGAGTTCACTCTATTAGAGAATCTGGAGCTAAACTCATATTCTACGATTTGAGAGGTGAAGGGGTTAAAATTCAGGTGAGATTAAAAGAATTTAAAAATAAAATTCAACCAACCTTAGTACTTATTTCTTTTATCTTATAAGTATCACTTCAAGTGTACCTTCTCTGCTATTTCAGGTTATGGCTAATGCTAAAATGTATGAGTCTGAAGAAAAGTTTGTTAGTGATACTGACAAGCTGAGGAGAGGTGACATTATTGGATGTGTTGGCCATCCTGGCAAGACTAAGAAGGGAGAACTGTCCATTGTACCAAAAAGTATTAAGTTGCTATCTCCATGCCTACATATGCTGCCTCATTTACACTTTGGTCTTAAGGATAAAGAAACCAGGTTTAGGAAAAGATATTTGGATCTTATTTTAAATGATAGGGTAAGTTTATACTCCTAATACCTTTGTATATATACTGTTAATACACAAACATAACATAATTTCTAAAACCTTTGTTTTTCAGGTAAGACAAACTTTCTACACGAGAGCAAGAATCATTGCTTATGTCAGGAGATTCTTGGACAACCTTGGTTTCCTTGAAATTGAAACTCCAATGATGAATATGATTCCTGGTGGAGCTACAGCCAAGCCATTCATTACACATCACAATGATCTCAACATGGACTTGTACATGAGAATAGCCCCGGAACTGTATCACAAGATGTTAGTTGTTGGAGGTCTGGACCGTGTCTACGAAATAGGCAGACAGTTCAGGAATGAAGGCATTGACTTGACTCACAACCCAGAGTTCACAACATGCGAGTTCTACATGGCATACGCAGATTACAATGACCTCATCAGTATAACTGAAACAATGTTATCTGGAATGGTTAAAAGTATTCACGGCTCCTACAAAGTAAGTTGATATTAATTTGCATGGTACAAACATTGCATGTAACAATGTGTCTTATTGTGCAACTGCAGTAATTTATTTATGTATTGTACAATGAATTCATGTAATCTCTTTGTTTTCATTTAATTAGATTATAATAGGTTATCAGAGGCTTCTTACTACAGTGATAGTGATGCATTCTTATGTGTACCTACTTCTGATAGTAAATAATATAGTACTTAGATAAGAATTGTATGAACTATGAATCAAATTAGACTTATGAATAAATGACAATGACAATTCTGCCATCAATTCTTCACATATTATAATTATCAAAAGTAAGGGTTTACTGAAGTGTTAAGTTTTTGGCAGGTAAAATATCAACCAGATGGACCAGAAGGTGAAGAAGTGGAGATTGACTTTACTCCTCCATTTGCTAGGGTGCCTATGATTGCCAGCTTAGAAAAGGCATTGAATGTCAAATTTCCGCCAGCTGATCAGTTAGATTCAGCAGAAGCCAACCAACTACTTAGCCAGTTGTGTGAGAAGCATGAAGTAAGTAATATAACAGTTCTCATTTCTACATATTATCATATTTTTCATTAAAATTGAACATTTAACTTCACATAGCAAAGTTTTACTTACTGAAATTTAAATTGCCACTTGTAGTAGACAAAGTTTACAAAAATCTGTTTTATAGCCTTCGCAGATACTTGACACAGGTGGTTACACTATTGTTTATAATGACTTATATTAAAATCCAATAATCTTACACAAATATTGATATTTTTCAAAGATTCAATGTGCAAATAGTGTTTATTGACACATACTCATTGGTTTTATTATATTACAAAAGTATATTATATGTTTGGTAAGACAGGGTTATATTTTATTTTGCACTATAATGCCCAATATAATATATGTTATGATTATTTATAAAAAAAAATTGATCAGAGATTATCTGGAACAAATCACTCTGTGTTATAAGGCTATCCTCATATTATTGTATTTTCATCCAAATATGGAAAGTATACATAATAAATATTAATCTTCCAGGTTGAATGTCCACCACCAAGGACAACAGCGAGACTTCTAGACAAATTGGTTGGAGAGTTTCTGGAGGAGAAATGTATAAACCCCACATTTATATTGGACCACCCCCAGATTATGAGTCCCTTGTCCAAGTACCATAGGGATATTCCTGGTTTAACAGAGAGGTAAAGAAAATATAATGTTAGAAAATATAATAGTAGCTTGAAACATGAATTAATTGCTTTATTGATGACGGAAAATAATAACTGGTCCTGGTTTTAGGTTTGAACTCTTTGTAATGAAGAAAGAAATTTGCAATGCATACACAGAGTTAAATGATCCTGCAACTCAAAGAGAAAGGTTTGAACAGCAAGCCAAAGATAGGGCAGCTGGTGATGATGAGACTCCACCCACTGATGAAGCATTTTGCACTGCTCTGGAATATGGTCTGCCTCCTACTGCTGGATGGGGCTTGGGCGTTGATCGTCTTACAATGTTCTTGACCAATTCCAACAACATCAAAGTAAGTTTGGTTACTTATTTGGTCGAGAAAATGTTTTAATATTACAAATTACTGATCCATATTTATTTTTGTTATCAGGAAGTACTACTGTTCCCTGCTATGAAACCAGATGACCCAAACAAACACAATGCTGAAGGAGAAAATGCATCCGCCGAACCTCCAGTTCAAAATGGAGCCTGAACAATTAATTATTAAGTTTCTGATTGTGTGAAATGTCTTCATGTTATAACTAACACTGATTTTCTTTTTAATAATAAATTATGTTATTACATGAACTTGATTTTAATGAAAAAAATTTTATACATAAACCAGAAATGGACACAAAGTAATATTTACATGTACTTTAGTAATTCGTAATTAAATGCATTATGGCATAGCATGTACTATGTACACATTCAAGTAAGTGTGATTAACCTGAGATTGTAGTATCAAATAGCTACATCTTATAAATAGAATTGATTACTAAGCTTCAATTTCACCTTGAACAGTTGAGTTATAATGTTCACCTAGTCCATACATATGTCTATGATATGTTATTATTAGAGGTGGTTTCTCATATTCATCTCCTTGGTCAATAGAACCAGGCCCAGTTGCTTGAATTATTGTTATTGGGCATTGTAAGGAATTAGACAAGGCTCTAACCTCCACTTGACCTCCCCACACTTTAGTATTTTCAAGTTTGTCACAATATTCCTCAAAATCTTCATCTGTTAACATTTCAAATGTGTCAGGATGTGTCATGAATGGAAGGAAGTCACCTTTATTATGTCTAATGTACTTTGCAGCACTACCTCTTAATTCATCTACAGATACATCTTTCTGCTTGATGATTGACAGTTGATGAGAGACAGCTTTATACAAACAGTCACCGTCTGATGGTATCATGAATATTTTTAGGCCTCTTTCTTTCAACTTATTATTAATTTCTTGCAGTTCAATATTTCTAGGCCCATGTCGATTTTCCTGTTCCTGTTGCTTTATTAGTTCATCTCTTTCTTTTTCTTGCTGAGACTTCTTATCTCTGCGTTTTTGAGCTTTAGAAATTTTTACTTTTGATAGTTCATTTTCTACATTGTTGAAAGCATGATCTGGTTCATTAGTATTCAGTACTTCATTGGTATTTTTATTGGCAGAATCAATTTCTTGCTGATGCCTAGCATCCATTTCAGTTTCTAACCTTAATATTTCTGCTGTTAACTCTTTCTTCTTGGTCTTATCATTTTTTGCGGCTTTTTTCAACGCTTGTATTTGTGCTTGTAGTTCCTTCTTTTCTTTTCGATGTCTACTTTCTAAGACTGCTAATTCATTATCTTCAGTATCCATTTTCTAAATAGGTATAGTTAATTGAATCAAGTATAGAACAGGTGTTTTTGGTCTGATGAAATTGTGATTTAATTTTTAGAACTTGCCTGATTTCATTTTCAATTCACTTCAGCAGGACAACAGAACTATCATTGTGAATTTGTGACATTGATGACTTTGACACTGTCATGTCTCAATTTTTCATCTATGGTAATAGTGTAAGTGTAACTAACTCAAAATAGGTAGGTAATATACATTTGCTGACCTCAACCTCAGACAAGACCTCTATCCATTTTGAGGTCTTGAGGTTGAAATTGATCGGCGATCAGGCAAGAGGCAAGACAGTAGTGTGTGGCTTTGCCCGTGCTTTGCCCTATTTTTCAGTGTGTGGCATAGTGTCAGTTTACCTATATTGCTGAACAAAGAATGACTTAGACTTACGACACTATCAATGAAACTTGCTTGACATTAATTTGACAATATTGATATTGACAGTGACGGGTACAGCAACCCAACCAACACAACCTTATTAGAAACCGCCAAGCAAGTTATTTTCATCTTCGTGGTTTTAGTGGATGTGGTAATTCCTTGCTCTATTATTTGGAAATATATTTATGTGATATTTTTTCTTGTAATATTGTTGTGGAAGAATGAATCCTTGTTCAGTCGCTGCGCCTCAACAAGACACCGAAGGGGATGGAAGATGGTACAGCATTGTAAGTTTTCTATTATAATATTAATTCTCGAGCCGTTACAATTTGCTAATATAGACGGTTGAATTCACAATACATTTTCTGATTCATATACGTGTTAAAAATTTTAATTAGTTTCGGATTGCATTTCCTGACCTACATTGTTAATAATCAGCAAATGCAGATTACTGTAATCTAACACTAATCCGGTAACCAGTAGTAGTTTTATGTGCAGTAATAATATTTGAGTAGTGGTGAAAACTCTATACTGATTAGGAACTCCTATGTGACTTCCATGATTGTAATCAATACAAATGTATTCTAATCACTAATTCCTTTTACAGCATAATCGATTTTTGTCAGATGCCAAAGGGAAAGATGGTGATGTAATTTTCATTGGAGATTCAATTTTACAAGCTCTTGAGCATACTGAAGTATGGAACCAGTGGTTTGCACCTCTGCATTGTCTCAACTTCAGCATCCACAAGGATCAGACTCAAAATGTTTTGTGGCGCATCAAGAATGGAGAACTTGACCATGTTGATCCAAAGGTGTGTAGTACATTTAGTGGTAAATATTCATATCATAAGTTTGAGTATGAGTTTCACATCTTAAGTTTGTGTTGTGTTTCAGGTAATAGTTGTACATGTTGGAACAAACAATGTGGAATATACTGCTGAGCAAGTGTGTGATGGTATCTTAGAAATAATTAGAACAATCAGGGAGAAACACCCAAGTGCTTACATAGTATTGCCTGTAAGTATTGATTCTAAATCATAATTTATTTGTCTAAAATTTTTTTTACTGTACAATTATTAATGTCCAATTATTGTTATTTTGATTTCAGAGTCTACTTCCTCGAGGTCAACACCCCAATTTGTTAAGGGAGAAAAACTCTACAATTAATCAACTGTTACGTGAAAAAGTATCCAATATGAATAAAGTGGAAATGGTTTCAATAGACAAAGGGTTTATACAAACTGATGGCACCATCAGCCACCATGACATGCATGACTACCTCACACCAACCAATGCAGCCTGTAGGAAAGCATTTGAACCTATCTATGATCTCCTGCAACAGATCCTATTTGAAGGAGAGCCTGAAAAAGACTTAACACCTTCTGAATAATATTGTTCTATTTAGTACTATATGGCAGCTTTTTTTGCAGCAGGTTATTGTGATGATACCAGTAGTACTTATCATTAGCTTTTTATATTAAGCCTAAGTGTCAAACATTTTTAAATATTGTTAACTTATAAACCTCTACATTCCAAATTAGCATTATGATATTTTAATCGGCTGTGTTTATTTAATCACTCCACTTTTATTATTTTTTATTTATTATCGCTTATTACGTTTACAAGCTTAATTTAGCTTTTAAGATAATGCATTTTATGTGCACACTTTATTTGTGCACAACAGGGTTAGTACTTACCTATCTAGTATTTATTTTTTCACATCCTTGATATGATTTTATGTAACTTAAGTAACCTATAGAAAAGTATTATGTTACTATTGTTATTTTTTAGAACCTCTTTTTTGGAGATATGTAACAAAGCAATCTTTTAGTTTAATTTTAGAATGTAAAATTTATTCTGGAAGGTACTCACACAAGTACATATTAGTCTTTATCTTATTTACTAATCTATTTTTATTACTTTGCACATCACATTAATGGAATTGTCTATTACTATAACCAAAGATCTTGGAAGATTACCTTACCAAAGTTATAACAGTATACGAATTGCATTGGATGATTTTAAATGCAATTCTATTTTTGATAAAGACCTACTTACATTTTTAAATAACGTAATAAGATCTGTATGAATAAGTACATTGTTCTAGACTTGTTTTCATTTGTTGCAAATGTATTGTGTAGCGAATGTTGCACAAAATGTGCATCCAACACAGTAATAGTTAATTATTCTCCAATATCACTGTAGGCATGTTTAGTGACTATTTAACTGATAAGGTACTCATGTTGCCAAACAAGTTTGCTTGAATCTCGAAATGTTATGGAATATTTATTTGCATGATGAAGCTTGAAAGTAAACAGTGCAATTATTTCTATATAACCAAATGTTGTTTTATTAATTATCCTGTTCAACACAGGCCACCGGCGGCCTCGTGATGTGTTCATATAAGTGTCATTATTATGCAGTTTTCATATGGGAAGTAATTATAAACTACGTTTAAAAAACCCGACTAAAAACCGCTTCTTTTTTTAAATTCGTTTATACGATTGTCGTATCGTATTATCTGCCTGTCGTATTTGTCGTGTTGGTCGTTTTTGTCGTGTCGCTCGTATCTGTCGTGTCGAATATGTTGTGTTTGTCGCGTCGGTCGGATCTGTCGTGTCGGTCGGATTTGTCGTATTTTGTCGTGTCAGTTGGATTAACGTATTTGTCGTGTCGGTCGTATTTGTCGTGTTGGTCGTATTTTTCGTGTCAGTCGTATTTATCGTGTCGCTCGTATCTGTGGTATTTGTCGTGTCTGTCGAATATGTAGTGTCGGTAGTATTTGTCGTGTGGGTCGGATTTGTCGTATTTTGTCGTGTCAGTTGGATTTATCGTATTTGTCGTGTCTGTCGTGTTTGTCGCGTCGGTCGGATCTGTCATGTCGGTCGGAATTGTCGTGTTTGTCGTGTCGGTCGCAACTGTCGTGTCGGTCGGATTTGTCGTATTTGTCGCGTAGGTCGGATCTGTCGTGTCGGTCGGATCTGTCGTGTCGGTCGGATATGTCGTGTCGCTCGGAATTGTCGTATTTGTAGTGTCGGTCGGATTTGTCGTAACGGTCGCATCTGTCGCGTCAGTTGGATTTATCGTATTTGTCGTGTCGGTCGGAACTGTCGTGTCGGTCGCGTTTGTCGTGTCGGTCCGATATGCCGTGTCGGTCGTATTTGTCGTGTCGGTCGCGTTTGTCGTGTCGGTCGGATATGCCGTGTTTGTCGTGTCGGTCGTATTTGTCGTGTCGGTCGGATTTGTCGTGTTTGTCGCGTAGGTCGGATTTATCGCGTCGGTCGGATTTGTCATGTCAGTCGGAATAGTCGTGTTTGTCGTGTCGGTTGGAACTGTCGTGTCGGGCGGATTTGTCGTAATGGTCGGATATGTCGTATTTGTGTACATACACGACATGACGTATTCGTTTTCAGCCTTTGTTTATTCAGCCAATCACGAGATAATCGCGCAGCAACATCCATACATACAGGTTAAACTGTACTCTGTGTACCTCGCTTCCTTTTTTGAAGTCGGTTAAAAAAAGACATTTATGGAAACAAAGATCTACATTTATTTGTATAACATCTACTCTTTTGTATATAGTTTTAAATTAACTACATTAAAGTTGCTACATTGAACATTTACTAAATTGTACATTACTAATGGTAACTTAATATTTCTTGAGTAACCTGTTATAGTACAGTTTGAATGGTAGGATAGGACTAGCTTGGAAGAGTGACCTGTCGAATATGTTAAAGTTTCTCTTTTGAAGTTTCGTTAAATAGTTGTGGACAGCTGTAGCAGGTAGAAATATCTGCCTGGCAGTTTCAGGAACATTTATTTTTCTTGCCTGAAAATAGAAAGGTAGTCAGTTTCTTCAGTCAGGATTAGTTTGTTACAATTTGTTAATGAAGAAGCTTTTTTTGTGATTGTAATTACAATTACATCTGTAAAACCTCTATGTTAGACTCCAGAGTCAAAACCATGAGAAGACTAAACATTTAGTACCATTAAATGGGGTGAATAGAGACAAAAGATGGGTGAATAGATGTTGGTAAATTCTTCATAGTATCAATTCACCCTCTCCTATCTCTATTCACCTCTCGATCCCTATTCACCCCATTTTACCGTATTATCACTTGGTAATTAACGATTAACAAAACTGGATTTGTTAAAAAAATAATTAAAAATAACTTCAATACCTTTTCTAAATGGCTATTTGCTCTTGAAGCAATTTCAAAGACTGCATTCCTCATTTGTTCACTGTCAGTACATCTGAGGACATTTTCTTGACTTAACTGATACTTCATAAGTATATCCATAGGCAAGAAAACTATCTTCTGACGACTGGATACATGGACAGATCTGCAACCAATTGATAGAGTAGGTGAAGCATTTGTTGTGATCGCAAACTATTGACCTTTTATCAAAGCTGTGAGTTCCAGACCTTAGTATATTTGTTATACCCTGAGCCTTTCCCAAATGTGATGCAGCATGGTCAGCATGGACATCTTTAACTCCTCCTATACCTAAGAGAAGGTAATACACAGAAGATACAGAGTCTTCAGCATATTTCTCAATGTCCTCTAAACTTTTAAAATATTTAGCCTTGTTCATGTTACTTCTTGATGTGATTAGTTTTTCCAAATGTCTCCGTTGCAATCCATAACAGCAACATACCTGAAAGCATGTTATCAATGTTTTACATTGAATTATTGCCCTAAGTAACTACTGTATCAGTCAATATGTGTGGATTTATTACATTGTACTACTAAGTTATAATTATACCTTAAACAGCTCTTGTGCTACAGGATTTGCAGGTACGTCTTTTAGTGTCTGTTCTTTGTTAAACATTCCCTTAAGGGCATCATGCCAGAATTGTAACCGGAATGCAGCCGTTTGTGAATCAGATGTTAAGTCTTGCACTCGAGCTACTTCTACGTTGAAAGCTCTCAATACAAAGGCAGGAGAGCGTAGAGACTTCGTCATCAGAAGAGTAGCCAAGAAGTTTTCATAATCATGCTGTCTATCTGCAAAATACATAAAGTACCAGAATATGCGATATATTGGTTGGTCTAAAATTCCAAATGCTTCTTCTGCGACGTACATCTATATTAATATTACACAAATATTTAATGTTTTTTACAAATATTGTACTAATTACTTTACTATATCTGCACAATAGTCGATTGATGATGTATTTGCTGTAGCTTCACTAGGTTCTGTTTGGATTGATCTTGAAACTACTCTCACGGGTTTAGAAGATTCAAGTATGCGTATAAATATTCTGTGTTTATTCATTTTTATAGAGAAATGAAAGGATTTAAGTTAAATAACCCTATTTCTATCAGCTGCTCAACAAAAAATTCACAGATTCACTTCATTGACATTGTCAAATTTGACATTAAATTAATTTGACATTTGTCATGCAATGACATAATAATAATTTTTTTTTTTTCGAACATTGCTGTTCAGCCAGAAAAGTTGTAAGAACTTTTCTGGCTGAACAGCAATGTTTTTTTTTTTAATATTTGATGGGGCGACGTTTGACCATTATCTCGCCTGGTGGTAAGCGATCATGCGGTCTACGATGGACCAATGTTTGAATGTTTCTAACTTTTCCGTGCGCCTGCGAATGAAAATATCCTCGCTCTTGTGTTCTACAAGTCTACAACCATAAATTATCTGAGTACATAGCCAACCTAGCTAAATTAACAATATTTATGTTGTGGTCAGAAAAAATCAAATCATTTATTTGCAAAAAACATGTGTATACATACATACACACACACACACACCCTCACACAGGTACATGTATATAACATGATTAAGATAATGGTGGCCCGGGAGGCCGGTGGTGGGTAAATAAATACCAACCTGTGTATACTTCCTAAGATTATTAGAACACAACTGACGACATAGACGTAGGTACGGAGAAGTTAAGCCTGGTGAGGAAACGTGGTGATTAATGATCTCTCCTCTCTGTGAGATAAGAAGTACTTTGCTAAGAAGACAGGGGGTCAATAATAATGATCCATGATTAATAATATTTATTCGTATTGATTAAAAAAATAGAAACTGCGTTAAAAAACCAACTTCAATAATTAACTAAAAATCACGGGTTACTCACGTGAATATACTGAGAAAAGCTCTACTAGTTTCGAACCACAGAGGGGTTCTTCCTCATGAGCAGCGTGCGCGGTCGCGGCGATGTTCCGCAGCCTACTGGCTAGCGTTGGCGCTTGCATCAGTGTTGTTACTTGCGCTGCGGGCCCACTGTAAGTACCGGTCTGTGTGAGTCAGTTTACGATACACTGTGTGTGACAATCAACCGTTTTCTTCTCGTCTTATGAGGACATGTAAGAACGGCAACATCCCTTCTCTCTCTTCTTTAGTGGTGAATTGTATAGGTTCCGCCGTGTACTGAGTTCGAGTGTCCCACAAATTTAGCCAAATGTTCCCGGTTGATGATCGCTAACGACTCATCAAAGTCTCTCTAACAACTAACAATATCGCGGTCGTACCGGGGCGGATGCCAAGGCTTGACCCCAAACCACTCTATGTAGATGTTAGCCACCACTGGCAACAGTGGCGACCTCATAGTTACTACGTTTATGCTCTGTTCGAGATTTTCTCAGTATACTTATTCACGTGAGTAACCCACGATTTTTAGTTAATTTAGTATGTCTCACGACTTCAAAAAACCCAAAAATTAAAAATAAACAAAAAGTAAAAACTGAAAAGCAAAAAATAACTATTACCTAATAATACTGATAGGTACCCACCTTATCTTACATCATGCTTAAAAACAATGAAAACTGTCAACGAAGCGGCAACGATAAATCCGCTTATGTTATGTAATGAGATATATTCTAATTTCAAAATTAAACAATATTAATAGCAATAGTACGAACTCCCCAATCTCCTCAAATTGCTAATCCACAAAAGGCCGGTAACCCACTTGTGTTTCGGGTTCACCCTCTGGTATTTCGGGTGTCCATAGACGGCGCCGATTGCTTACCATCAGGTCATTCGTTTGCTCTTTTACCGGCTTATTCCATAACAAAAGAGGTCTTGTCTTCTTTCATAAAAAGAGGTCTCTTGAGGTAGGCAGGCATGTTAGTACATACAGCTAAAATGAGGTGTTATTAAAAATGTGCACCTCTGTTTATCTAAGTATTCAAAAATTAAAAAACGTGAAAATGAGTAAGTTGTGGTTTTGCGTCGGAATGGAACTCCGTCCGTTCGATTAGAAAACTTATTATAGTAGCCTTGCCTTTCTTCTTTTGAATTTATTTTCTTGCGAGATCCAAAAAAGTTATACATGTTCTCTTGGAGGCACCGGACTAGTTTGAAGTTTACTTGTCAGGTCTTTACCACGATTGACGATACGATGACTAAACGATTCTCTTGAATGCAAGAAATGTCCCTATTGCGGCTGTCTCGTCTCGTCAAGCAATATAAGTCGTTCACACTTGGCTTTATAAATTGTGTTTTAAGTTTGAATTTATATCCTTTTTGTAGGTATAGTAAGTACCTAAATGCCACATTTTCACATTTTTGTTAAAATACTTATTTAATTTGTTTTGTATTGTTATTCAATAACATCGGTAATTCTAGTAGATTATATACATAAAAAGAAATAAATTTTGGTAGCAGGTGATGTTTTTGCTAAATAATGTTGCTGGTAATTGACTTATTAATATCTATCAGCTTATTTGCATTTCTAGTTTCATCGAACCGCACAAGTATAAGTGAGTTGTAAGGTAAAGTTATCGTCATTATAGTTTGTCTATTCTATGAAAATGTCGTGCCGATTACGGGACCGTAAAGAATGGGACGTGCGGGCTTCTACTTTAGCCCGAAATACTTTTAATCCTATAAGAGATATTATCGAAACTCTTAAAATTAAACCGAATCCGGATATACCGTACATCGCCCTCTCAGTAGGTGAGTAACCATTTCTTGTTTACCCGCACTTTTCCCAAAAATTAAAATAGGTGTTGACAAATTTCTTCACCTCGTTATTATAGCATGAAAGTTAAGCTTACTTTTAAGTGTGTCCTCATATTCTCCTCATAATATTGGTATACCTACGTTTTTTTCCCAAAAAATACGGTAGTACCTAAGTACTGTGTGGCACTGTCGGTCTCAATAAACTAATAAACTTAGATAAAGTTCTCTGATTGGCTACTCATTGCACATGCGCTGCAGTCGGTCATATAAATATGGCCACAACAAAAATGTTTGATTCAACTTTTTGTTTGAAAAAAATGTTGTATGGTTACTATATTATTTGGAATGTTGCTGAATATTGTGTTGCAGCCTTGCAGCCTATCCATTAAAGACAAATATTGCGCGTTCAGAATTTTTAGAAGCACCTTAAAACAAAGATCGTCGTATTATAATCGGATTTCGTGAAGAATATTACAAAGCCGTTATTTTAACAATTTATTTAGCAATTTTTAGTCTTATTTAGGCATAGGCATAATTTTGTATTAAAAAGTACACAGTTTCCAATATTGGGTTGGGGCCTACCCAAAAAATTGCAATGTTGAACTTAATATAGCAGAATACAGTCTATTGTCGTGCAACAGTTTCCAGACAACAGACGAGGAAAGCACCTCATTTGTTATATTTTATCACACGGGGTGTAAGGAGTGACGAACCCTGGCGCCAGAGTCACAGGCCGCCATTGCATTGGAGACCTCGTTACGCAAAAAAGTTCGCGCGCAAAAATTAATGTACCTACACGAGTTTTTTTTATTAGTTCCGAGATCCAAAAGAGCTTTAGGATATTTATTGCACTCTACACAGGCAGCATGGGTTGTAGTTACTGTTTATAGACGCCCCATGGTTTATAACCATTTTTAAAATACCTAAATTGTGTGGCAGTGAAATGGTCAGACTTAACGGCCAAAGTTAATAACCGACCTCAACATCAACACCAAAATCTTTGAATTGCGACGGATTTTTAATATTGGTTAAATAAAGTTTCTATGAAAAACAGAGATAAATGATTAACAATTGAGATAGATTACCTATTAATTTCGGCCGTAAGTAAGCCGATCAAATGGGTTTCTACGTGGATCTCTTTCATCCTATGTCATTAATCCTTCTATAACCTACTTACTTTCTTATTAAACTGTCAAACACCAAGCGGTCACCGGTGACCGCGACCTATTGTTCTTTAACTCGTCGAGTACCGGTTTTATAGACACAATTAAAGAACAATAGGTCGCGGTCACCGGTGACCGCTTGGTGTTTGACAAATTAATTGTGTCTATAAATACGGTACTCGACGAGTTAACTAGATTTCGGAGCAGAAAAGTAATTTTAGGTAAAGATTTAAACTGAATCGAATTCCTAGACTTATGTCTGGTGACTGCAGTTGCGTTTGTGAATAAGTATTCGATTTGAACAATGAACCAATCAATTTAACAATGACGGTTTACAGTCCAATTTAACTTATCCAGTGAATATTTTAATTTTTTATCTGTCTAGTAATCACGCGAGATTCCTTTTAAGGTCTTTATCATTCAGCTGACACTTTAATAAATACAGAAGCTAGCACATAAACGTGATTCGATCTGTCAGTTCTTCATTAGATTTTAAACATTATTTCAAGACGATAAAGTTTCAATTTTTTATAAGATATTTAATAGATTCTAGTAAGGCGACAGTACCTAGGTTTTTACTCAATAAAGTACTGAATGAAATGGCCCGTCGTCTCGGGTCGAGTTTACACTTGTAGTAGATAATGACCACAGATAATAGTACTTCTTAATAAGAGCCATAATAATTAATACTTACTTTTATTGCTTGGGTTAGTAACAGTTATTTACTGATCACTTCTTTCGGTTGCATCATAGTAATAAAGTTGATTAGGTACCCATTGTATTATGCTGATGAAGGATTTTACAGTAGGTAATAGGTAAAATTGCTTCGTGGTAAGTTTTATGGCCGTTTTGAATACCTTTTAATTACCTACCTTAGCCCTGGATGGTTTGTGATTATGACCTAGGACTTGAGATTTCCTATTTCCTGTAATGTTACTTAAATCGCATTACGGTAGGTAACGGTATTTCTTTTATTTCTAACGAGTTTTTAATCATATATACAATATTATAATACCTACTTTTTTGTATTATGGCCGTCTTTTTTTTCGATTCGTCCATTTTTTGTAGTTGTAGAGCACATAAAATCGCTGAATCCGTCGGTTATTGGAACGTCTAAGATGGTCGCCATGGGCAACACCGAAAGTCTGATAAGGATCTTATTAAGAATGCCGTAAATATCGAAAGGTCCTTTCAAAAGGACATAACGACAATTGTTTTATTGGGTTTGGATAATAGGATAAACAATTAACAAACGGGTTTATTGTTTACTCTTTATATTCTGTCCTTGTCTCGAAAGGAAGGTCTAGTTTTAGACACATGATCCTGCTATTGACCACTGGATTGGAAAGTGTTGTATTTAAACAATAATTAGGAAATTAATGAACAAGAGTCAGGAGCCCAGCTTTATTAGGATATATCCGTCGATTCAGCTCGATCTTAGGATGTCGATCTGAATCGAGTTCGTACTTCATTAAGATATTTTCGTCTACTACTAATTTGGTATTACTTTCTTTGATATCCGGATCAAAATTTTCTCCAGAGTCGTAAGATTCTTATCAAAATTTCGATTATTGAAATCAGTTGATCCTCTTAGTTGTCTTCTTCGACATAATTTTCATTCCAGCTTTAATCGTCGTATTTATTGGAAACACAGTGTAGTAACTAAGTAGACCTAATACCTAGTCATTCTTCCAAACTTCTTGCTATGGATAGCTGGAGACAAGAAGGCTACGTAAATTCATAATTTAGACACCTCTATGAATATTAAGTAGGTATAAACGGTTCTGCTATTAAAAATACCTGTACCTAAATGAAATGATCTGTTGATCAACATCACATGACACGATCATACGAACTATTTTTATTAAATATTAAATAGCATAGAACAACAAAAGTCGCGCCAGTATTGCAACAGGTTTATTCGGTATTTGCATACCTATCTCTTCTAACTTTCTTACGAATTAATAAAATAAAGTTTTGTTAAATATCTAGATAAATAAACAAAAATTTAGGTGCTTAACATTTTTTATCGGGAAGTAGAGTGCTCCTAAAATTACATATACCTACATATACTTACAGATATACGCTTACATATAGGTATGGCAGCGTTCTTGTGATGCCTTTCGGATGAAGATATGCCTTTCTGCTGTTACAATAGTTGCAGGATTATACAAAATTGAATCCATATTTGGAGATTTGTCAAAACCAAACAAACAAAACTTTGTATTATAACTTTGAACTTAAAATTTGTATTATAACTTTCGTGAGACATACTAAATTAGGTAATTATTATGTTTTCGGTTTAGGTTTAGGCTTAGGTACCTACTCACGTAATTATATGACGAGGAACTCGACTTGTTTCAAGTTTCAAAGTTCCTCGTCAAATAATTGCGTGAGTAAGCCGAAAACATAATAATTTATCAAACAAAACTTGTCAGAATCTGCCACTGCAAAAAGGCCCCTGGTGACTTGTAAACTTTTATTTAAACTGTCAAACACCAAGCGGTCACCGGTGACCGCGACCTATTGTTCTTTAATTGTGTCTATAAAACCGGTACTCGACGAGTTAAAATTAGCTGACCGAACAAACTTCGTACCGCCTAAAACTTTTTATCTCGCCTTTTAAGCCTTCCCTAGACTTCTACGAACATTTCAATACCAAAATTAGCCAAATCAGTTCAGCCGTTCTCGAGTTTTAGTGAGACTAACGAACAGAAATTTATTTTTATGGCCCCTGGTGACTTTTACACTGGACACTTTTAACCGAAACTAGCTGACCCGGCAAACTTCATAACACCTCAAACATTTTTATTATGGCATAAGCCGGTAAACGAGCAGACGGATCACCTGATGGTAAGCAATCGGCGTCGCCCATGGACACCTGGAACACCAGAGGCGTTACAAGTGCGTTACCGGCCTTTTGGGGAATTAGGAGTTTGAGGATCGTTGGGGATTCAGGAATTGGGGAGATTGGGGAAGGGGAGGGTAACCTCCGGTAACCTCATTCACACGACGAAACACAACGCAAGCGTTGCTTCACATCGGTTTTCTGTGAGGCCGTGGTATCACTCCTGTCGAGCCGGCCCATTGGTGCCGAAGCATGGCTCTCCCACACTTATTTTTTTCACCGTTTAAACCTTCCCTGTACTTAAAAAAATAATTCAAGACCAAAATTAGCCTAATCGGTCCAGTAGTTTTCAAGCTTTAACGAGACTAACGAACATAACATAACATCACGCCTTTTTATCCCCGAAGGGATAGACAGAGGTGTACATTACGGCACTTAATGCCACTGTACAATGTAACACCTACTTTTTATATTCATGTTATGAGTATCTACCATGTAATAGGGGGTAGGGGGTGAGCGAACGAACATTTTTATAATATAGATATAAATAGATACCCACGGCCACGGAACCCAACTTTACCTAACTCAACTTAGGTATAATCGCGAGAACCCTAGGTAGGTAGAGATACCTATAAAATGCGCTTCAATTTTAGATATTTTTAAAAATATTTTTATCACGTGATACAAGCGTGTCTTGACTTCTATTTTAGTTTTGTTTCGTTATTTTTCAATGTTGAATATTTTAACTAAATTAGATTTTGATAGGTATATAATTTAATCTACACGGTCAGGGAATTGAAATATAAGGGTATATTCGCCCTCAAATATCGACTATGCGATGCGATATTCTTAGGCCCTTGATAGAAAAAATATTTTAATTACTGAATTTTCCTGATTAAATCCAAATAAGTACCTACATTATAGTGTCTTACTAATATACTCAACTGAGATATCCTTTGTGGCTTAAGAATAATGGTTAGCAAATAGAAAAGGTAAAAACGTTAAAAAAATAATAAAACTTACGACAATATAACTCTGAACTCACAAGTATGCGGCATGCAATTTGTTTTGTTAGCGCATTGCGCCACGTAACACCATCGAAAGGGCTTCGATTTTCCAATTTTCCCGCCGAATTTTCAAAATTGCGTTATGCTAGGACCATGCTAGGACTGAGAAATTATCGGTACAGCTATTTAGTTGTTTTTATTATTTAGTATACTTGTTTCGACAAACAAAATGCATCTATTTTTTGGCGACGAATCCAATACAAGCACTCGTCTTTCATTAGTAAATTAGAACAAGCAAACTGAACCTTATCGCCTCAACATATGGTCCTTTATCTCTTTTTTCATAACGTAACATAACATCTCGCCCTTTATTCGCGATAGGGTAGGCAGAGGTGTACATTACGGCACTTAATGCCACTGTACAACGTAACACCCACTTTTCACTATTTATGTTATGAGTCCCATGTAATAGGGAGTGAGCCTATTGCTATATACCGGGCAGGACACATTTCCAGATTCCGTGCTAACCATTGAGATTTTTTTTAAAACCCACTAATGGTTTGCCCGGCCCGGGAGTCGAACCCGAGATCCCTTGCTCGGGAGTCGCACTTGCGATCATTTGGCCAACGAGGCAGTCAAGTGTTATAAGATAATATAAAAAACGGCAAATTTTCCTCAACGTTTAAAAATGTATTATAATACTTACCTACTTATCATTCAAAGTGATAATGGTATTACTTAATAATATATGCTTAATGCTTTTTCTTTGCTAATTTTGTTTACTATTCGCACTTATTAATATTTAAATTGTGTTTTATATACAACATAATAACAACCAAATAATAAATACTAAATGGGTTTTTTTTACAATAATCTTATCTACTTTACAATAATTTATGGATACCAAATGTCAATGGATTTGGTACCAACTCAAGTAAATAAAAAAATGAATTTATACTTCTTACCACTCCTAAACTACATCTTAACTAACAATTGAGAGGTACTTAGCATGAGGGAGCATCTAAATTAATGTGAGTTAGACATCACTTAAACGTAGGTGAAAACCTATTTTACCTTAGGGGTTTCTTTTAGTTTAAGAGGGGTTGGTGAAAACGGGCACCACTTAAATATTTTATTGGTTTGTTTTATTATTAAATATTCACTTAAATAATTATTGGACTTATACAACCCTATAAGTACTCATCTATTTCTAAAAAACATGAAATTGCACTAGTGATTAAGAATTTCGTGAAATTCATGAACGATTTTAGTTCTTTACTATAACTTTTTTGTTTCAATTTTCCAAAATAACAGTAGCCTATGTTACTCCTTAGTATATCAGCTACCTATCTGCTATCTGCTGCTATGAGCCAGTACAAACAGACAGATAGACAAAATATGTAAAAAATATTTTGGTAGGTAGATATGTGTATCGTTTGTATATTCAAATGCTTGTACTAAAAGGCGGTAAAAAGCGGTTATTAATTTTATTAAATATAGAACGCGATACTTAAGGAAAAGTCAAGCAAAAATACAAAGACAAGTAGAGAGGCTTATTTTTGATTTTAGAAACTGATTAACACATATTAATAAACATTCATCAAAGGTCCGATATCAAGTAAGAATAAAAAATATTATATATTAATGAAACAAGTCTATTTTACATACGATTCTTAGAACTATATTTTTAAATATGTAATTTAAATGTCAATGCGCATAAATAAATATTTTATTCAGCTAACTGCGGAGTAATCGCAGACGGGCCCATTAGTATGAAAATATATTTTGTCTAGTCAAGTTAAAATTTTTGTAATAATTAATTCTTGATTAAGGAAAAACATTATTTAATGTAATCATGTCTCGTTGGATGGCAAATGCTCAACTTCTGTCGGAAAAACTCATACTAGACTAGACTCAGGTCACGAAAAGATTTTCTTGAAAATATTGAGCAGAGATCAATAGCGGCCCATCCACTAACGTTCATTTCTTCCGACTTGTCCCGTTGTGCAAACTGTACAGAAAAGCCCCGGGATAAAATAAAACCGTTGAAGCCACTAATTAAACCACAATCCTACGTTCTTTCCCCTAACATTATCACAACACGCCAGTTCGACAGGAAAAACAATCCTTCAGTGACCATACACACGTTTAGGTACATTCCTGTCAGTTTGCATCTTGTTAGTCATACCGAGGGATTGCGTGTCTGTGGATGGTTATAATCCTATCATTTTATGAAGATTGTTGTCATTTAAAAGGAATACTCGTCATTTTGAAATATCTTTATGGATTATTTTCATTTTGCAACAACGTGTGTACCCGTAAGCAAGAAATTGCTATTGCTTTGAGTTTTATTGCGAGTGAATATCTATTTAAACCCAAAAGAAGACATAGAATGTGGGTAAAAAATGGTTATTAGAAAAAGAGAAATATAGTGATATAAGACTTTTAAAAGATCTGGGATGCGATGAACCTGATGATTTTAAGAACTATTTGAGAATGGATATCTCGACATTTAACAGTTCGTTAAATGTCGAGATAGCTCAAGATGATAACACCGTATTTGCAAAAACAAAACACCAGAATGAGAAATTGCATTACAGCCGAAGAGCGCCTTACAGTAACATTGCGATTTTTAGCTACGGGTAGAAGTTATGAGTGTCTAAAATTTAGCTATGGTATATCTCCGCAAAGCTTGGGTCGTATCATCCTTCCGGGACTAAGACGACCACAAAATGATTACAAACGTGCGCTCAATCACGCCGGACAAATAAACAGGCACTAACTTGATCACAAAGCGCGTCGCGTCCTCCGCGACGGGAAGGGAGGCGGTGTTATAATGCCGTCATTCTTTCTTGCTCTTGCAAATCCACTGGCGTTCATTCCGTAAGGATTGTAGATTCCGGCAAGAATGAACGTTAGTGGATGGGCCGCTAATCTCTCTTCTCTAAAATTGCATAGTCATGATAAATAAACAAAGAGCTATGGACTATCATTTAATACCAAAATCTATTTTTTAAATATTCCGATAATTAATTTAAAATATGTCAATAAATTATATTACGAGCTGAGAGTGCATGCGACCTTTCAAAAATATGAAGATTTCATTTTATTTTTAGCCAACTTAGTTCTGTCTATAGTTCGTTCGTGAGGAATGTAGAATTGAATTAACATTTTTTTTAATTATCGTTAAGTTATGATTTAGTTCCTTTATTATTTATAATGGTACTGAAACTTAACAATAAATTTTATTCTACAGTAACAATATGGTTTTACTTCCTAATTTAAATGATATTATTATGGTCTTATTGAATTGGGTAGTTTCCTGGGTCAAAAATAAATTATTTTGATTTTTCAATCCAATTAAATATTGAAAAATAGTTACACTTTCATTCATTGATTTGCCGATGTACTTAATTTTCGATTTATTCTTGCATTTTCTTCAGATATAATAATAAGTGTGCTATTTGACGCGAAAATATGATGACGTCATAAGCTAGTATTTCGTACAAAATTCATAGAACAGTATCGTTTTTGACGTTTCGATAAAAGTATTGAATTTGACTAGTTGTCAACTACCGTATTAGGGGTGAACCCCGAATATACCTTTCGCACGGTTATAACCCGAAAAATCTCTCAATTTCAGGCGATCCAACTGCTTTTGGTAATCTGCAACCTTCTGAGAACATCCTAGACACTGTTTGTGAGATGGCTAGGTTAAATGATTCTCGCAGCTATGGGCCTACCATTGGACACTGGGAGGCTAGGCAAGCGGTAGCGGAATACAGTGCTCACCAGGGTCCTGTGACGGCAGACGACGTGATCCTCTGCAGTGGCTGCTCACACGCCATTGATATAACCCTCAGTGTCATCGCTGGCGCTGGACAAAACGTTCTCATCCCACGACCTGGCTACTTGATACACAAAACTCTTGGAGAAGGATTGGGGATCGTTATCAAGTACTATGATTTATTGGTGGGTAGTTTTCAGTTAGCATAGCTAGGTGAAATTTTTATGTGTTTTCATTACAATTCTCTAGTCAATAAAATAGTTGTTTTAAATATCAAATTCGCATTTAAATGTAGTTTTTATTTTTAGCCTGACGAGGACTGGCAAGTCGACCTAGTGAGTCTGGAGAGCCAAATAGATGAAAATACAGCAGCTATCATCGTGAACAATCCATCTAACCCGTGCGGCTCAGTTTATACCAAGAAACATTTAAAAGATATTATCGAGGTGGCATTGAGAAATCGCGTGCCGATAATTGCGGACGAAATTTACGAACACTTCGTTTTCTCCAAACACGAATTCACTTCATTATCGTCTCTTTCTAAGGATGTCCCAGTTATAACATGCAGCGGAGTCACGAAAAGATTTCTTATTCCCGGCTGGCGAATGGGTTGGATAATCATACACGACCGTAACAATATTCTGGGTAAAGAAGTCCGCAAAGGCCTGTTCAGTATGTCAACGCGGATTTTGGGACCGAATACATTGCTGCAGAGAGCGCTCCCGAGAATTCTGAAGGAAACTCCACAGAGTTTCTTTGACGACACGATGAGGTTTATTGAGGTAAGACTAAGAAGTTTTAAGTACATAAATTAATTATGATCCTGCAAATCTCCGATCAACCAGAAATGAAAAGAAATTCAGACTTGGTCCTAATCTTTTTATTGCGGCAAATTTTTTGAATTGATTTTCAATTTTGTCTCATTGGTTCCACTTTTAGACCGATCTATCGAACTGGTACCTATGCATTTTCATACTTCTAATAAATGTGTCTGTTCATTGTTTCAGAGTCAAGCACATTTGGCTTACCAGGAGCTACAAAAGTCCCCGGCTTTACGTCCGATCATGCCTCAAGGCTCCATGTACATGTTGGTACAAATCAAAATGTCTTTATTCCCTAAATTCGAGAATGAACTTCAATTTATTTCTCAACTCTGCAACGAACAGTCGGTTCTATGCATTCCTGGGAAGGTAAATACATTATTTTATGTTTATAAGTTTGTAAGTAACTTAATCATATTTATTCGTAATTAGAAGTCTGATATTTCTATTATAGTGCTCCTATAATACTAATTAAAGCGAAGAAGATAACTTTTGATAACACATCTGCAAGGGTATGAGGTAGTAGATGTTGTGAGTTCGAATATGTACGAATTATAGAATCCTATAGAATTAGTCCATAGGATTGAATAAATATTTTCTACTTCCTTTTTAGGCGTGCACACGACTAATGGTTACAGTACTTATTGTCGAATTAAACCACGCAGTTAAGCGCCCAAACGCAGTTACTATCTACTTAAAAATAAAATCTCCACTAAGAAATACGTTTACCTTTCTCATTATTTTCAATTTGATTCCAGTGTTTTAACTACCCCAACTACATTCGACTTGTGCTGACTGTACCTGAAGACATCTTGAGAGAAGCATGCCACAGAATCACAAAGTTTTGTGATGAACATATGATGAAAGAGAAATTAAAAACACCAGATAATGATATTGTTTCCATTGTCAACGGGAAGTCATCGGATGTGTCTTCGAAGCAGCAAATGTTGAAGAATATATCTTAATTTTGTCTCTAATTTTGGGCCTGCGCATTAGAGGGACTTTTGTCCACTTGATTGGACTTGATACTTAATATTATAAACGCGAAAGTTTATAGAATTGTGTGTTTGTTCGTAACTTAAACTAATCAAGTTAAAAAAACAGGGCTGTATTAACTTGATTAAGTTACAAACTTTTACAAATAAAGTTACAAACAAAGCCTTACTCTTGAATCCAATTCCGATCGATCGACATTGATATTGTGAAATTTCGTACTCTTGAGTTGTAACACTAGCGCTCATTGCACCCGTATTACGTGGATATTGAATGAACTAAATGGTATTGAGTTTGGTTTTATATTCTATACTCTGAATACTATTTTAACAGCTACGATAGGGGTTATATAGTTTTGACATTGAATAATTATTGAGTTTTTTATTTGGATTGCAATTGCATTGACATTGAGAGTTGTTTCAAGAGTAAACACCCTGAAGGGATCGGGTTGTTTGGATCAGAAATAGATTAATGTTTGATATAATACATAGGCTACTTTTTATCCCACGGGAAAGCGGGCGATACTTTATAAGGGATCTACCTGATCCTACTGGTATATGAGTATACAGTTGAGTCAAATTTATTGGTGGATATTTTCACAATCCATTATTGATTTTGGTCCTTTAGCAGACAAAAGTCCATAGGTTGCGGAGGTCCTTAAAAACAGTTATATTGACATCTTATGTTACAGGTGTAGCAACATGTTCTGTAATCTGATTGCTCTGTTACTAATACATATTTAGAACTACTAATCGAGTAAGGAGTCTCTGGTGCGATACTTGGGACGCACAAAGTAGATGTTACTGAGTTTCTGGTAACAGACTAGCTATCGTCAATGCCATAGTACAAAAACGTAGTGCTTGCTGCACCAATGTATATTTGTATAACCTGCATAATGATGTTATTGCTAAGGCTAGTTCATAAGTAATGAATTTAATTAAATGTAACCATAATATGAATAAGGAAGAACAAAACTATATATAGATAGGTACATCAGACATCACAGTTACTGTAAACCTGGCCCCAGACGATATAGAATCTGACCAATTTATAAACAGTCAGAAACTACCAATGAAGTACGTATGTCGGGTAGTGGCTAGGCATGACTATCTCAGAGGATGTTTTCTTGCCAATCTTAGTGAACATGAAAATTCCAGCCTGTATCTGCCAATCAAATATGAGCTTTGTGGGAGGACCAATATTTTACCTATTCACTATTGTTACCGTATCAACTTCGACTATGTTGATGATTATTTTCTACCTAAGGCGCTTTTTAACGTCAGTACCTGTATAGGCTAACCCCCTATTACATGGGACTCATAACATAAATACTTAGTGAAAAGTGGGTGTTACTTCTGTGTGCACCTCTGTCTACCCTTCGGGGATAAAAAAGGCGTGATGTTATGTTATGTTGCCTGTATAGATGTATAGATACTGACGTTACAAAGCGCCTTAAAAATAATAAGAGACGCAGGTAGCTTGCTCAATGTATGCTTGCTATTTTAATAACACTTGTATCGAATTTAAATGTTGCACAAACATTATTAAACAACGCAAGGTGTAGAAAGTAGATGTTAATGTACTATTTTTATTCGTGTTTATTAATCCAGTTCTTTGTGTGTATAATTTTATAATATTTAATACTAGATAAGACCTTTAAAAGTAGTCGATTATTGTTGTTTTATAATATTGTAAGTTTTCTTAATACATTAACTGTATAGGCAAATATATTATTTAATGTTACTTGTTTCCTTCATTCAAAAATAAACTGCATTAAACGTGTATAACAATGCAGCCTATCTACATTTATATCATCAAGTAATTTGAAGTATTTATTGTACCTACTTATTCTTCAAAATTAAGAGTTGGACCTAATATGCTACCTTGTGGAACCTATGAAAAAAGAATAAAGGATTTGATTACTTACCAGGACCCTGTATGGTATAAAATAGAATGATATAAATATTTTAAAAATCTACAACAAATATTTACTTTGTGCATGGCTTTCTAGAGGGGTTCCTCAAGGTAGCATCCTAGGACTACCGATAGGATATTCAGATCCAGGACGCACTAGAACCTCGAAGACAAAGACACTTTGATGTTATTGAATATTTCGGAAAGCCCTTAAAGCTCGTAAGCTATAGAGGTAGATTAAACGGCGTTATGCATATTATGTACCTAACTATGTATAAAACATGAGTCATTATTATTTATCAGGATATGATAATTCATAAAAAGACTAATAGGTGGCAATAACTATTCGTAACACTAGCACCTATCCGTGGAGACTGTTTACCGCATAGGCGCATAATAAACTTCTTGTTATTGTTTACGTATCTGTTTACATTCCAAACTATGAAACGCACTAAGTATTGTTGTTGACTACACCGTTGATGACGTTAGAACTTGTGCAACTTCTGACCAATGTAAACATTTGTTTACGTTTAATTTTTAATGATGGCGTAGCACAGGGTGGCATATAAAGAACAACTTAGTACAAATATAAAGCAATAGATATTGAGTATCTATAGATATTTGGTAATTAAAGATTACGTAACCGTGAATGGTAGAATACCAATTTCGATATACTTTTTTTTCTATAGGATAGGTTTACGATATTATAATTAGGCAGAGAAAAATTAGGTCCAGAATTTCATCACCTACCAACCAAATCCCAGTTTTTAATTGTCGCCACATTTAAAAGCCCCTGTCGCATTAAAATTCGAGCTAATGATGTAACAAACCGCATTTTTTACACAGCGACACCTCTCAGTATTAATAAGAACTAAACGTTATAGAAGATTCCACAACAAGACAGGGTTATAAATTTTATTTTTTTAAAGTAATATTTGCAGTGTTAATGCAATATTATTTTTATTGTGTTATTTTTGAAATGTATGATAGACGGGCTAGACAGACGGACCGTACTTCAACTGTAAATTGCAGTTCGGATGCAGTTTGTTGAGACGACTGCATTTAGAGCCTTACCTGTTTGATTTATAGCTCTTTAGTCAATAGAATGGATATTTTTGCCACATTTTATTTGGAAAAAAGTAGGTACTAAATATAACTTAGGTTATTTCTTGTTATTCACAAACAATACCCAGCGAAGGTGATGCAATAAATTATTTTAGGCGCTCATTAAAAAGTTACATTGTGCAGATAAAAATACCTTGAATTTTAGAATAATTAAATTAATTGTTGTCGTTTATATACCTACTGCAGTATTTTTTAACAAACGCCAAAGTGGTTGAACCAGTTGATGACAGGATACTATTTTTAGGGCTAAGGTTAACACGACATACCTATACCTATATATTTTATAATGGAGCATTTACATCTAATCAATAGAGGTATATTAATTTTGCTCGGAGGTAAGTACTTACCTCTATACTATAAAAATTTGTGTGTTAGTTTAATTTGAGTTTAATATCACTCTATCACGTAAAGTGGATACTGCAGTAATGCAGTAAAGTATAAATTTTATGAAATATATCAAAATACTTGGGTAACTAAATGGTCACTATGGTCAGATGAAAATATAATACATACCCTATACACTGTACCTGTCGCGGAAAACCTAACGGGGCCTTGACGTGCAGGAGAATGAACGGGGTGGTTTTTAGTCAGTAAGATTCTGATACTCCCTCCCGCCTCACCTAGGCGGGAGCAGTCATAAGATGATTTTCCCCCCTTAAAAAAAAATACACTACCTACAGTCGAAATGTACATTTAAATACGATTTAACGGTACAGTTAATACACTTAATTCTTGTTGTGTGTCGTAGCAAAATAAATGGTTTTTTCTTTCTTACTTAATACTCCACAGTTAAAAAGGAAGGTGTGTAGTCTGCATAAGAATTGTAAAGGCTCCAATTCTGGACCATTTCTTAACTCATTTGTTTTATTTTTTTTATCTGACTGACATTAGATTAGTCCTATCGAGATGTCCCGTACTCAACAGGTAAAAGGTTCCCCCGCCTTTCCTACATTCCTCGTCCTTTAACATTTATCTCTTAATTACACGCGAGTAATAAATTTAAAAGTAATTAAATGTCACAAAATCCAAGATTAAAAAAAATTGGAGTAAAAAAACAATAAAACGTTTTGTTTAAATGAGAAACAGTCATGTGTTAACAATAATCCAGAGAGCACGTACCTAAATAAGCCTTCACGGCTAAAATATTTGTTTTTATGTGATTCAAGCAAGTAATGAATAATCAAATACCAACGATATCGTACGCTTAAAGCGGTTAGCTTGTTATGTTGAAATAACGTAACTTTCCATGGCGTTCTGGAACAGTCTGGGGAAACCACTTGGACAAAACTTGTAAGGTAAGAATAAATGGAAATGGGACAGGCATCTCTTTCACATAAAACAGTACTTACATTTATTGCGGCACAGATCTCTTGGCATTCAAATGTCGGATATTCTTCTATTGTTGGACCATGAGATCAACTAGGTAGTGTTTTAATTTAATAGGTAGCGGATAAATAGGTTAATTAGTTAATTAGTTACTTAATTAGTTAATTCTTCAGTTATCTACAATTCGTGGTCAGGTAGACACGACTTATAGAAAGACATTATTTGTCTAGGTAAACACGATATCTGTATCTACAAATCGTGCTAGTTAACTCAATAAATTTTATTAAATATTACCTATAAATATAAAAAATAATACTCAGTCTCGTTAAATCTCAAGAACGGCTGGATCTACTTAGGAAAGATTTGTTAAAAGCGTTTGTAGAATACCGGGGAAAGTTTAAAGGTGAGAAAACATGAAAAAGATATCTAAAATAATATTATATTATTTTATAAGATCATGCTTGTCCTTTAGAAAATAGGTAATTGTTGAGGAAAAAAAACAAGCTAAGATTTTGTAATGAAATCATAATCACGGTAAAACATAATAAGTAGATTGATCAACAATAATATTTAGAAACAACGAACCAATCCAATGTCGCATTCTTTTGTGTGTGGACGATGCACACCAATAAAATTAAGAGGGACATTAGAGCGGTTTACCCTAGCCCGAGCTTTTTTATGTGCTATAGATATCGGTAGGGGCCAGTGTGTGGCTTGTAGAATATATAAACAACCTGATTCTATTGCCGTCATCGCATCTACATTTTCAAACCAGTTCCACGACTCGAGAGCCTGAGCTTGTCAAACGCCACTGTTCCGATACAAAACTGAGTTGTATCGAAATGCGAGCAATATTCTCCATTCAAGTTTAAGTGACGCCGCAGCTTTTATATTCCGCAAGTTTTGTGCCGATGTCGCGACGGTCTCGAGGAAGCAACACATGGGAGGTGCGTGCATCGACGTTGGCTCGCAATACCCATAACCTGATAAGGGACATCGTCGAGAACCTTCAGGTAGAGCCAAACCCTGAGAAGCAGCTCATAGCTCTTTCAGTTGGTAAGTGTTTACTTTCAAATATTTAAACTCAAACGTACAAAACAGACTCACGATGAGATTTTATTAATAAATAAAATAGAAAATATTAATATTTCGTCGTAAATTTAATTTTAATTTTTTTTACATTAATAAAATTTATTAATTAAATAAAGTGAATAAAATAATTATTTTAATAGATGAGTAGGTAAATAAGTAACTGGTCATAAATATTGTTTATTACCTATTGTTTAAAGTGTGCATCCTGTTTGTTAACATGGATACCCAAAGATCAAATCTGCAAAAATTATCTACTTTGCATCTTTTAATGTATCTGGCCAATCTCACAACCATTTGTACTGAAACATGTGCGTAAATAATATTAATATCCCTATTGTATATATCATGTAATCCGACGTAAAAGTCGCGAAAAATAAGTGAGAAGAAAATAGGTTAGCAGACTATTTATTTGTGTATCAAGGTCAACAGGATTTGGATTTCACAATATTTTTAACGAGCTATACATTTGTTTTGTACGTTAGGTGATCCGACAACTTTTGGAAATCTTAACCCTCCCGAGCAAGTACTGCAAGCTGTTCGGGAGAGTAATGAATGGCTTAGCAGTCGCAGTTATGGCCCTGCAAAGGGACACATCGAAGCCAGGGTGGCCGTAGCGCAGTACAGTGCCCACCAGGGAGACATTTCACCCGAAGACGTCATCCTGTGCAGTGGGTGCTCACATGCAATAGAACTTGCTATCACAGTGATCGCAGACTCAGGACAAAATGTATTGGTTCCCCGTCCTGGCTTCATGATATACAAGACTGTCGCTGAAGGATTAGGCATTAATATCAAACATTATAACTTATTGGTATGTTAACTTTACTGAAAAATATTTATAATTCCAGTTCATTATAGGAGCCGCCACAGAATCTGATACTTTAAGAATGGTAGTAAAAGACAGTCAGGTAGGGTTTGGAGGTAATGAGACGAAACATATGAGGAATTGTGCGAAAACTAGAGGCACAGCAGCAGGATAGACAAGTATAAATATGAGCCGATGTTAAACAAGTTTCTAGTAGCATAACAAGTTTCTTGTGGAATGGATTTGCATACTGCTCATTTACGCTTTATTTTATTTATAACTGCGTAAATCCTTGATTAAAGGTTATTTAATGAAATGATAGAATGTCATAATGATGTTTTGTTGCAGCCAGATCAACAATGGAAGATAGATCTCGAGGATCTAGAGAACCAGATAGATGACGACACCGCCGCTATAGTCGTAATAAATCCTTCAAATCCATGCGGCTCGGTGTATGACAAGGGGCATTTATACGAGATACTTGATATAGCATCGAGGAACCACGTGCCCATCATTGCTGATGAAATATATGAACATTTTGTGTTCTCAAATAATGAATTCACTGCATTATCAGCCTTATCGGTAGATGTTCCGATACTAACATGTGGTGGCCTTACGAAAAGGTTTTTGGTACCTGGCTGGCGTATGGGATGGGTCATTATCCACGACAGACACAATATATTCGGGAAAGAAGTTCGTCAAGGTTTGTCGAACTTGGCCTCTAGAATTTTAGGGCCAAACACATTAATACAGAGGGCATTACCAGCAATCCTGACATGCACTCCACAAAGCTTTTTCGACGAGGTTGTGTTGTTTATAGAGGTGAGTGAAACTAATAATATGTTTAATTGATTCAATAATAACGATAACTTTCTAAATTGGTGACACATTTTGTGCGAATAAAAGTAGAGATAAGTTTTTTATTACTTTTGCATTTTCATAGCATACCTAAGTATTTCTGTTTATTTATCGGTTTTAAACTTTTTGGACTTATGTTTTGGGTAATGTCGTAGAGAAATTGCACATATATGAAGTGACATATTTCTTTTTCTAATATTTTCAGAACCAAGCGAAATTGGCATTTGATGAACTACGATGCGCACCTGGCTTGCGTCCTATAATGCCACAGGGTGCTATGTACATGATGATTGAAATCAAATTGTCCTTATTTCCAAATTTCAAGAATGAACTACAATTTGTTGAACGCCTGGTCGCCGAGCAGTCGGTGTTTTGCTTACCTGGACAGGTCAGTATTTAATGTTATCATTGGATAAAAATGCATAAATATTGAAAATGTTTTCAATAACGTTAACAAGATAAGTCTACGTATTAGAATTTTATAGCTACAGGGGGCCAGAACCGTTCCGTTTAATTACAGGTATTTGTAATTCATTTTCCTCCCCTTTTTATTGTTATTTTTTTTTATTGTTCACTTATTAATAATCCATATCCTAAAATAGTTATATTTGTCGAATAGTTGTCAGTATTTTTTGTTCTTACTCAACAGCTTTCAATTCTGTTCCTGGGGTTGCTCATTTTATGGAGTTTAGATTGGTTCCCTGTGTAAATTTATATTTAAAATTGAAAAATATAAAGTTTATATTATAATTTATTAAAGGAACTATTCTTTCTGTTTCCAGTGTTTTGCCTATCCCAACTTTATGAGGATCGTTTTGACTGTGCCCGAAGCTATACTGCGAGAGGCTTGCAAGAGGATGATAATCTTCTGCAAAGACCACATCGTATCCAGAGAGACCATCAAGGAAATTGAGAGTGATATAGTAACTGTACCAAGTGACAACGAAGTCATCTGTGACAACGATACTGCACATGTTGCTTAGAATAATGTGTTTTTTTTTATATAAGTATAATAGCTAATAATTACCATTTATTTTAAAATAAATGGACCCTATGTGCCTACCTACGAAGATGGCTTTTTAAAACTGCATGTAGTAGTTATATTACACCGAAGTATTTATTAATTTGAAGTGGCCTCAACTTTCCAAAGAGTAGTTTCTGATGGAATTTTATAATGTAAAGTTCACGTATTTAAATACGTATACGTACACGTATGTACAGTAGTAATTATTGTTGCAATGAAAAATACGATCGGACACTAACACTATATATTTTTATGTGTTAATCCCTGTAGGTTATATATTCCGAATAATCATGTTTGTAGTTTTTTGTTTACTGTTGTCTCTTTCCTACAATATGATAAACTGTTGATGGTGTTATGTGATGTCAGTGATTGCATATGCATAGCCCACTCACCCTGTGCATGGGAATCACATCACGTACACGTCAAACATAAAACCTACAGCATTTTCTGCCAACATAAATAAACATGAGTAAAATAATTAACAATTTAATGAATTCACCATGCGTTGTAACTGGTGTAACATAACTATTATGTGCATAATTTTACAAGTTGTAACTAAGTAGAGACGAATTTGTGGTTACCCTTTTCTTTGTGTAAATAAAAATATTACAAAATATTTTGATTTTGTTTTTGCTCTTACTCTGACCTATTGGAGAAATTCTATAAAAAGGTAATGTGCAGAATATCGTGGGCGGTAATAATATAACAGGTGCGGCGTGCTTAAATGTGATGGACGCCAAAGATACACCGTAGGTAGGTATTAAGGCCCGTATTAATAAATAAGTCTCAATCACGATATCAAGACCGGCATCAGTTGATACGTTCTCAAGATGCGATCAGCATCTTAATGTCGACGCTAATTAATAAACCTATATCCACACGATCTCAGGTGATACCGCGGTTTGGATCGGGTTATCAAGATTCGTAATTTGACACTCTATGAAATCCTGATATTAAGACTTGTTACGTCACAGCGAACGAACTATTACATCTTTCGCTCATTCCGTTTAGTAATAGCTTTGTAGAACGATAATATTCAACTCTGTATACATAGGAATAAAAGTTTTTTTCCAGTTTAAATTAATTGAAGTTTTAGGAAACTGTATTATTTTTTTATATTGTATATATTATGATTTATTTGACCATAAAAAAGCACTATTTATTATAAAGTTACGTTTAATTTTGTGACAAAAGCACATACCTACCAGGGATTGCGCGTCACCTCATTATTATATCTGTCTCTTTCTCTCAAATGTTTATTAGGTACTTGATAATACAATCATACATATCAGTGTTTCGTGTTTATTTACAAGTTACTTATTAATCGACTGCCTCGTTGGCCGAGTGGTCGCAAGTGCGACTGCCGGGCAAGGGGTCCCTGGTTCGATTCCCGGGTCGGGCAAAGTACTGCTGGGGTTTTTAAAAATTATCAGTAGTAGCACGGAGTCTGGAATTGTGCCCAGTATATGGCAATAGGCTCACCCCCTATTACATGGGACTCATAACATAAATAGTGAAAAGTGGGTGTTACATTGTACAATGGCATAATGTGCACCTCTGCTTACCCCTTCGGGGATAAAAGGCGTGATGTTATGTTACTTATTAATATTCGATAATGGAGTCAAAAATGCTTATTCAAGCTAGCTTGATCTCCTGTAGGTATTTTAATATAGGTTTTATGGAGTAATGCTAGCAGTCGTGATACTTTTCTAACGACGTTTGATACTGTAGGCTGAGATAAATAAATGAGATCCCCGCACACAAATTGAAAGTTTTTGTCATTATAAATAAATCGTTTAACATACATAACAAATTTAACTTTTCTATGTTTACAATTCAATTGATCAAAATAATTTACCTGAAAGGATGCTGGCGTAAAACCTCAAAGTAAGCAAGACTGAAATTTCTGGTGCAACTGGCAGCCCTCTGTTATCAATTTTTACCAAATTATTACTTATCAACGATACGATATCAACAGCACTGATTCTTGATTAAATCGAAACCGTTTTGCGTAGGTAATTCGAAGGGATTTGTCTCGTCCCTTATATAAACTTTAGGTAGGTACTTAATAGATTTTGAAAATGCCATAAAATATCATCGTATTAGTCGACTTCATCATAATAATTGATTTTGGAAATAATATTCTCAATATTCATGGTTCCCGCGAAATACTTAGGTACGAGTTCACGATATTAAGTCCAGGGTCGACTGAACTTAACAATCGTGGTCTTGATAACCATCCTAATACCGATCTTGAAACCCGAGTAATGTTTATTAAACAATACGATCTCAGGTGATGACAAGGTCTTAAACCGCGTATTAGGTTTTGTTTATTAATATGTCGGAATATCAAACAGGATCTTAACATCTCACTCTTACGCTGATATCGGTTTATTAATACGGGCCTAAGATTCGTTAGTAAATAAGTGGCGCTCCTTAGGTTTGTGTACTCCAAGAGATAAAAACGAATTTAAGTAGGTATAAGTATGTATAAAGTAAGTTCTAGATACACAAAAGTGAAACACACGTGCACTTACACGTGCGTGAAATGGTTTAAAGAGCATAATACTACATAATAATACCTATATCTATCCTATCCGAACAATTTATTTTTTTGTGGACAGTGGATGAGACGTCATTATGAGTCCTATATAAGTAAAAAAATATTACGTATCATTAAAATATATCGTTATACTTGTACCTACATTTCAACAAATAAAACAAGAACGAAAGAATATTTACGTTTATGGTAGGTACCTACTTTGATAAATATAGCAGGCAAGTTTTGAGTACCCAAAAAATATTAAAATACCTCTAGTTCTTATTGTTACCTATATTTGTTCGAACTTCGAAGCCACATATAAAATACGGTATCATCATCACAGCCTGTGGTTGTCCACAGTTGGACATAGGTCTTTCCAATCGCACACACATCTTTGGCTCTACGCATCCAACCACTGCCAGCCACCTTGTGGATATCGTCACTCCACCTAGTTGGAGAGTGCTCTACACTGTGTTTGCTAAACATGAGGATCTATAATAATACAATTTAGTATTAAGAAATATTTTTATAAACCTGTGGATCTTGTTTTCTTTTGGTGACATGACTATGACTCAGGTGTACAGGGGTTTAATTTTAGGCCCACACAAATATTTATTACTATTGTATATTTCTAAATATTGTTTAAATGTTACATAATTATATTTAATAACAGCTACTGTTATTTGTACATGCCTTTCATGTAATTTACCTATAGTGTTGGTAGTCAGCGATCCGAAAAATATTGACGTAATAAGATAATCATAATAATATATAATTATCGTCCAAGTAAGTGGCTATAATACAAATGGAATGGGGGTTACTGTATTTTTACTCGCCAGATGGCGCTAGCGTGTGTCACTAACTCATTAGACGTTCATTATTTATTAGCTGCAGAGATTTGACAAAAAAACTTTTACACATTTGCGTCATTTGGTGAGCAAAATAATGTTAAATAAATAAACAACTTTCAACGCGTAAAAAAATAATATGTAAAATAGTGTAAGAATAAGCAGTTTTTGTTTGGCCTTTACTATTTAATCACACCCTGTTTCAAAACGTATGAACACCACAGACAATAAACACGGATGCCAACGACAAATAGAAATTATCATTGATGCATGTCATTCGTTTCGTCTTGTCATCTGTCAAAAGTCAATGAATCGAAAGGAAGTGAGGATAGAATTGATTATTTGATTGAATTTGCAATAATTTCTAAGATACTAGTAACAATAATATTGTATTACATTAGTATAATTGTCAACTCTCAATTATTTCTGTTTAATACATATTTGCGACCATAATGTCTCAAATTAAATCTAACAAAAAGTTCAAATGGGCTTTGGACTTCAACCAAAAGTAAGTAAAAAATCTGAGGTGTTAATATATTTACATAATTACTGTTTTATTGGTTATACTATACTTAACATAATATGTAAATATTATTCCTTTTTTCTTTAGAAATCGAACACAAGCAACCGAGTTACCGTCGCCACCAGGTTATAGTCAGTCTGCCAATGCGAGCTACACAGAGGCATCTAGAGACACTGATTCTAATCTACTATTGATAAAAAAATTGTGGGATGTTGCCCTTGGACCCCTGAAGCAAGTGCCAATGAATTTGTTCATAATGTACATGGCTGGAAACTCTATATCCATTTTCCCTATTATGATGGTGGGCATGCTTATTGTTCGGCCAGTGAAGGCTTTGTTTGCTACCCAGAGCACATTCAAGATGGTTGAAGGAACTCAAGCTACTGGACAGAAGTTTGTGTACTTTATTGGAAACATTGTCAACATATTACTGGCTCTTTATAAATGTCAAAGTATGGGACTATTGCCAACACATTCAAGTGATTGGTTAGCATTTGAGGAACCCCAAACCAGAGTTGAACACATTGGAGGAGGCTTATCCCTTATATGAGCAGAGAAAATCAAATAAAACAATTGTATATTTATTGCTAACTTTATTCAGTTTATCATTTTATAGGACTACTTAAAATATTTACAGTAAACTTATTGAATGACCTGTTTCTTTTATTACAATTATCCTATGTCGAAGTTGCATCGTGTTGTCATCATTTATCTTTCTTGTCGCTGCCTTCTGCTAGTTTGTCTTTCACATAAGCTTGTGCTCTTTCAAACAAAACCTTTGGATCTTCAACTTTATCTATCTGTACCAAATAATGAAAAATGTTATTAAACATAAAACTACACCTGTCAATAGAGTGTAGAGATATACATGTGAAGCAAATATTCGCTTCATGGATATACACTAGATACTAATAAACAAAGAATTCAACAGATCACAATATTCCTGGTTCAAGTATTAAATATTGTTTCTATTGTAACAAGTATCTAGGAAATTTTCTATTTACAAACTATATTTCAGTGATTCTATAAAAAACAAAAATAAATACATAATGGAAATCTAGATGGCCTATTGAGTCTTACAATATCAATAAGTAATATATCACAAACTTTAAACTAGAACATGTATAGTAGCATATTCTTTTAGCTAGTAATTTATTTATATACTTTCTAATTTAATTAATTAAAATAATAAATAAAAGTAACCTTCATAATAAAATCACACAAAATTGTACCTTTTAGTCAATGATTATACTTATATTTCAAATTAAGATCAAGATACAAAATAAAAAAGAAAAAATAAATGCTAACCAGGTCTTTTTTGGAGCTTTACCACTTTCCTCTCCTGGTTTCACACACATTCCACTCAGGGTACCCTGCATCAAGTATAAATAATACCATAGGTACAAGATGTAATGTCTACAGAAATGATGTGCTCACATGCTTGCAATGTAAGCAGCCCTCTATGAAAGAGGTTGGTTACATTAGTAGGATGTTAGAACACCAGAGCCGTCATAGGGGTAGGTATAAACCAAATATAATAATAGCTAACTAATAATAATATAAAATAAAAAGAAATGTAACAACAAAAGAGGCCATACGTAATTTATTGTTACAAAACATTTAGGTACACTGAACCAGGAATAATGTTTTTATTAAACAAGTGTGTTTAGGGGTTTTAGAAGTTGTAAAAGTTGTTAGTATTAGAAAAAAACAATTAATGTTAAGACCAATCAATCATGTAGGCCTCCTTTGCAAAGTAATTTAGTTAAGTAAAAATACATGTTTCAGGTTACCTTGTAGTTTTGAGCTACATAAACTCCAGTGTAAAGCCCCGCACCAAATATTATCTAAAAATATTAAGATAAGTGAGCAAGTATTCTTTATATTCCATTCAAGTTTGAATATTAATTTGAAAGGGTTATCTGAATATGACTGTGATGGCTTACACCAGTTTTGATAATGGCAAAACCACAGCCCATGGTAATATGTGGCAACAGTCGTAAGATCTTGTTTATGATGGGCCAAAAGGTTTGAGGTGTTTCATTACTTTCATGTAGTATGCATAATGTTCTTGTTGAGTTTTATTTAATGATTTATTGAATTATAGTTAGCAATATCCATTATTTATAAAATTGTTAACTGTCAATAAGACATTCTAAGTTCAAATGTTATTGACTAGTGAGCCAACCCCTTCTATATGTACACTAAGAAGGTGAAGTTTCAATCAATTTGTTGGTCTGGAACACACTGAGGGAGGCCTAAATTCAGCATTGGATAATTATTTTGTGAATGTTATGTTGATGTGTAAATAATAAGAATCATTGAATCAGGTTTTATAAATATAGGTTTTTCTATTACCTACCAATCATGAAACACAAAAAGTAAAAAGGAGGCCAATCAAGTTTGTCATTGGCTGCAAGTTAAAGGTCATAGACATTTTTTTGCAACAAATATTTAAATTGAACACAGATAACTTATGAAGTCTTGAAAGTAGTTAGCTCAATATAAAGTTGTTACAGGCAAATAAAAAAGCTAGTTACAGTTAGATAGTGCTCTCCACGACATGATGAAATATCATAACTATTGGGGTAATTCAGAATAGTAATAGTAATCTCCTCCATAATCCAGTCTCTAAGAATGTTGGTATCAGGATAGATGTATTTTATGATGATAATACAATTTATTTACTTCTTCACATTCATTGTAGGGGTCAGAGCAAAATATGATGTATTGTTTTGCTTTATTACCTGTTGCATTCTTAATCATTGTGTACCCAATCGTCTATCACATTAACTCTGTATATTATCAAATTTCCAAGTAAATATGTTGTCCTACTGCTAAAAAATGTTGATGTATGCATTGTGGGTTCCAGTTACTTTTTAAACTACTAATTTAATATTTACAGTTAATGTTTATTTATTTAAATTTATTAATTTAGGACACATGGGCTCGCCAGTACTTAATTAAGAATTAATTTAAGACCAAACGAAACGGAATTTAATAAAGATGATAGTAGATTAGAAATACCTGCTTTTTCTTCTAAAAATAATATCGCAATTGGTACATAATTATGAAAATCTTGTTGTTCCCAAAATAGAGACGATTCTTTGTTTGCTGTTTTCTGCAGAATCATTGTTCATGTTTATTTTTGTAATTACAAAGTTAACAAACCTCTTATGTATTGCCAAAAATGTTATCAAAAATACATAGGAAAATATTTACTTACCAACCCTTTAATCATGTTTATTATCATGAGTCCACCTGTCTTTCACAGCAATAAGGTAAGGACCTTTTGTAAAACGATTAAATTATAGGAACTCTTCCTCGTAATTCAATATGCACAATGATAGACTTTTTTATAAATTTTGCGCAGACTTTTTGACATGACTTGACATTGACAGTGAACAGCTGAACAGCTGACTAAAAATATTAAAATAATGGTTGTCTGTCTATTTTGATATTTTCTATCTATGGTTTTTATTAACAGGTTGTCCAGACAGATGGCGTCTAAGATTTTAAGTTTGCATGATTTCGAGTTTTTCATGGAGAAATAAAGGTTATAATTTTAAATATTTGACTTCTTGTCTACAAGCCTCTGGATTTCTGTACATGCATTTTAAGTGACTTGCGGTTGCGTAAAGACTTCTATACACACTTAGATTCACTACTTACTATTTGGTCTTCCAGTATTATAGTGTTCAGCTAGCTTTTTGTATTCTGTGGTGGTAGCATATTCTAGTCTATGGTCCTACATTGAATAGAGCGGGATGGCGTTGGCGCGGCGTTTTTAAATTCGAAAAGTTTTCTCCTTAAAAAATAAGAGACTGTTGTTTCATGGATTCAAATCTTTCAAATTTCGTTTTTCTTGATGAGTTGTTTGCTTCTAGGTAATACTTAGATGAACAAAATGTCCGATAATCTTTTAACGTCTTAATATTAAGTAGCGGTGCACGTGAATATAATTATTGGGCACCCACTAGTCACCAGTTGAATTAATAAAGCGATTGTGGGACCCTTATCTCTGTGATAGTAGTATTACAGAGTATTTAAATAATATTAGCATAGGTACGTTCCATTTTTTCGAATGAAACCCGAAGAATTGAACCTGAGAATTTATACAGGCACTTCCATGAAAAAGACTATATCATCTCCCATTGTATAAGTAGGTAAGTGTAATTATCGATTTTAAAGTGCAGTAAGGTTCTGGAAAATTCTCACAAATTCTTCGAATGAACGGATCAATGGGTGAGTTTATTATATAATTGAGTTGTCTATTAAATCTTAAATGAAACTGGGTACTAAAAATAGTCAAATTATTATTATGACATCGTACTTAAATATTTACAATGGACGAAATAATAATTAAATTACAACATTGTGATGGGCTCATAAATTACTATATTTGTAAAATAAATACTTAAATCGTAATACTTTTTAACAGTCCTGGTTTACAATATATGTATTTTGGGGGTAATAGGTAATAATCAAATAATTACCATAACACCACTGTTGACCACAATTTTTGTTGCAAGTTAGAGCAGTTAAAATTAAACACAATTTTGTTTGTTTATTCTTTCCTCACGAAATATACCTGGGGTAAATAGTGGCACAAATAAATAAGCGGCTTAAGCATTACAAATGTCAGCAGAACAAGGTACCCTAATTTCCCAAAGTCAGTAATAAGTGTTGTACAATGGGGGCGCCTGAACTGGATTTTTAGCCGAAAAGATAACTATTTTCCAGGTAGATATTGTTTTCTGTCAGCTTAGAATGCTTAGATCGATGCAGAGATTTTGGATTTTGATTAGGTACCTAGTTATTAATTTCGTGCGTTTAAGAACTCTCGCCCCCTGGCCTTGCAGATGCAGATAGACTTTAACCCCAAAAAGTAATTGCAATTTGATGACTTTCTGTCGTTATAAAAAAGGTACGCTTATGTACAACATCGGTACCTACGTACTTTGAAATGATTGAAACACAGATTTAATGTTTCCAATTTCAGTTAAATTACGTAGGTACGGCCGGTAAGTGAACGATGTTGATTAAATTAGGTACAAATGCTTTGGTGATAGGTATTCATTGCACAAAGTTTACAGGCAGGTTCACCGAGACAATTAGACATACAATATTATCTAGCATTGGCAGGTACCTAAATAAATTGACCTAGACACCTATTGTAGCCAATCCTAATAGTCACCCAAAAATATATAAGTTTTAAAATTCTTAATTCTAAATCTGCAAGGAACTGGATTCACATAGTAACTATAAAAATGGACGAATTTGTCTTTTGGTCTGCGGAATTTCATATTCGCTTCTAGGTTCGAGGTTTTTAATTATGTTTAAATCATCACTCTTTTGCGAGTAGATGTCTAATACGTATAATTACTTACAATCTGTATTTAGTCTGATATAAAAATAATTAAATCTAAATAGTTTACTAATAAACTAAAGTAGAAACTAATCTAGACTTATCACTATTATTTTACCCACCAATTAATGATTACATTATAACATCGCGCCTTGTGGTCCCTAAGGGTACGTCCACATATGGCGAATGCATTTAAAATTATTATTTATACGGACCTCGTATGCGTTGAGCACCAAACCATTGCCGTAACTGTTCGCAAACTGCGCATTCGCCATAATGTGGACATACCCTAAAAGTTTAAACAGAGGCTTCACTGAACTAGTGCATATAGGTATTTAGCTGTAACACCCACTTTTCACCACTTATTTTATGAGTAACAAACCGTGTAATAAATGGCCACCCAATTGCATCAAAATACATTTAAAACAGTTTAAATACTAAATTAAATATACCTAAGTAGGTAAATTCTTAACTTAAATACAATAATATACAAATTAACGATTTTAACAACCATGAGTACGAATATTATCACATAACATGTACTGTATCTACTACAAAATTTGTTTTATTTTTACACAAATCACTACATTCATTGACGCTATGTAAAAACTATTGGTGTGGCAATTTTCAGCACTTTGTTGGCCACGTATGTACGTCGCGGGTTTTCAATCGTTGTTAAAATATCAAACAAGATTATCTCACCGTGTAAACGCACTTCAAACACCATTTTAATCACTTATTGAACGCACACTTAATTCAACAAGCACATTCGTCATATTTATAAGTATTCATAACCGAGCATTGTTTTTAATTTGACTAACGTGTTTATTGTTCTGAATTTCTAAAAAGATATTGTATTGAGTCTTCGTGGAGAGCAATCATTAGCATTATAATGCCACCCGACAATATTCCTAATATGGCCAGTAGTAAATTAATGCTTTTACCATGGTTGTTTGCATTAATCTCTGGCACCAAATCTGCAAGAGCAATATAGAAGAAAGTTCCAGCAGTGGCTGCATAGATCCACTGGGAAGCAGACTCATGATCTTCTGCGAGCCAAATTCCACCGGCCATGCCCATAAAACTAAGCACCGACGAAAGTAGATTGTAATATAGGGCGCGTCTGATACTCATTCCAGAGCGTAACAGTACTGCGAAATCACCTAGCTCATGAGGGAGCTCGTGACAAAATACAGCCAATGCCGTTGCGAAACCAGTTACCGGATCTCCACTAAAGGCCGCTCCAATTGCTAGCCCATCTGTTAAATTGTGTAGCCCGTCTCCTACAATCACCATGAGCGCAGTCGACGTCATCGGCCGGTCGACGGGCGGAGGTGGTGAGCCTGGCATCATTGCGCCCAGTTCTATTGGTTCTATTTGTTTGCCAGAATCGGTTTTGATCTCTGCAACATCTGTACCGGAATCATGGGAGTGAGCGTGACCACCATTAATTGTTTGCATGATTGCTTCTACACTGTAGAATAATAAAATCGTAAGAAAGGTGACACTGCATTTTAGTACAGTTTCGGTTTCTTCCTGTGGTGCTGAAGGGGGTCCATGTGATTTGAGCGCGTGTGGCAGCAAGTGCAGCAGCGCATCACCACACAAAGTACCGACTGCAATAGCTACCAAGAAGTGCAGCACGTGGCTGAATATCGCTGACTTCAACAAAGGAACAATAGCAACTCCGAGTAATCCAGTTGCACTGATGACTAATATGCTCAAAGTGGCATAAATCCAAGCTGGAAGAGAAAATACAGTCAATATTAGAAATTAAAAAGTACTAGGGGAATTAGATTTGGGAATTTATTAGATCTTGGTTTGTTGTATAAATTGTCGGTAGATGTTGGTAGTTGGGACGGTACACCAAAGCATTATGTATTCAGACAACGCAGCACATTGGTGCTTGTGCATATGTATTGACATAAATACAACAATAACATGAATATTCAGTTACTCACTCCAAAACCTGTCCAGCTTCGGTGCAGGTGCTTCTGTTTTGTAACAAGATCGTTGGTCTAATTGGTACACTAGAGCAGGACACATCTCCAGGAAAGTTTTGGGCCTGATGGTTATGACTCCTGGGGCCTCATTCTCCATTCCATAAACCTCCAAAATTTCCCTTGGAGACAGGCATGACTTTTGCAGGATGGGTTCAGTTGAAACTGTTAAATATAAAAAATATAGTCAGTAGAATGTCTAAATATTAACGATATTATATAAAGAAATGTGTAAGTAAATGATTAATTAATAGGTAGGCTTAATATTACGTGTGTATTGTGTTGTTACATTTACCTACTAATATTAAGGAATGTAGTTTCTGTAGAGCAGTTTCTATAACCAAGTAGTCAGTAGTTACTTTGAATAAACGTGTAACCCAATGACAATATCCAACAATACGATTCATTCATGGATTTATGTGACAGATCCTTGGTCGGGGTCAGACGACTGCGCAAGAGCACTCGTCCACGCGGTAATAGGATAATCGCGATTATAAAGGACAATTCTCCGACCATTGGCGTCATGTTTTTGCAGAGAGTCATGAAATAATAAGGCTATTATGGTCAACAAGGACTGACAGGATAAATAATGGGTTGGACGAAGAATTGGCACTGATATATCGATTGTACGTGGTTTAAAATGGACAAAAGAGTTCCAGTTTTTTAAATCTAATAAAATGAAAGAGGTCGATAGTTAGTTTAATTAGTATTATTAACAGCCTTTAGCAGTTCACTGATGGACTTAAGGCCTCCTCTACATAAAAGGGGCTGCCCTAATTGCTACGATTGGCAGACGAGTTGGAGATAACAGTTTTAAAAGGTCAGTTTTGTCACAGAGCGCTGCTGCTCGGTCTCTGTAGAATATCCCTAATGCCTACTATCTACGACGCGTCATTTGACGAATCATATACCTCTACATTTGTCACTAAATATGTGGTGGCCTATAAATAACGAAATGTTGCTTATATCGTCCTTAGAAACAATGGAAACAGCCCAACATTAAATTCACCTAAGGCCTAATTCGGAAAGATTAGGGGTGGTTACAAATATATATATTCTCCTGTACCTTCACCTGGCCACTTTATTCGTTGTAACAAATGAAGTGCAAAAGTTCACATCCTACGTAAAGGGGTACGGTCGGCATTGGTAATACTGTCGCTGTCGTAATAAATGAGAAAGCAGTGGACTCTGCGGAACTATCTGCTTCGCTTTCTACCAAACACTGGCATCTATACAAGTCATACCGGATTTGAAAACTGTTTTGTTGTTTTGAATTATCATTACATCGAAAATATTCCGCGGTTAAATCTGATTCAACTGTTCATACATATTACAATAATCATCTACTAGAGCAACTAAGATATGCTACGGTAACTAAAAGTATAAAAGGATTTAAATTATAAAAAGCAATTGTATAGATTGGTCATACCATACCTAACTTCAGTTTAGCAGAAAAATATTCGTTCGTTACATTTTAAATTGATATTAAATCGTGACTGTTATTGACCGGGAAATGATATTTTTTGCGTTTTGTGAATTTTTGTGCGCAAAAATGGCGTGTTATTCAGAGGCGAGAATTAGATTCTATCGTAGTGAATTCGAACATACTGATCAATACGTAGGCACCTAGGTGGATTTTTCCATAGAATTTTTGATTATCACTTAACAGGTATAGAGCAATTCGTTCCAAATAACTGTAGTAAGTTATATAAGTATATTAATAAAGCAAGCAGAAGGCATATACTACATAAGGTTTAAGATTTTTTGCCTTAAAGTTTTTTCTCCAAAGCATAAATAAATCCATTAGTGGACTAAAAGTACCTAGATACCTACGTTTTATTCACGATAATTGGAAAATAGACAATTGAAATTCAAGGATGAATTAAAATAAGCTACAATATTACAATGAACATGATTAGAGCACGTTTCCTCCTTTCCTTATGGTGTTTACATTCTTAACTTTCAAGGTTTATTTAATTAATCACGTTTAGGTAATTGCTTAGCTGAACTTACAATTTCTTAGTTAGTTCGTATCGTATTCACACTTTAGTACTGTAATAAGAAATCAATATAAAGCGATGTCATGTGATGTGTGTCATGTCAGTTTCGTGGTACTTTGATGTAGTGTTTATCAATGTTTCCTAAAATTTTACAAGTGTGGGGGCACCATTTCCTTAGTCCCTAGTGTCCGATTCAATTAGCTGAACTCCACGGCAGGTGATGACATAGGTGTGTTAGACAAAAGAATTGTGACGCAGATAAAAGGCGAATGTCGTCCATCATTCTCACAGAATGATGGACGTGCGTGCAATTTTTCTCAAGATTATTTTGAGAAAGAAACAGGTCGGTGCATTATTGTTGCTAAGTTATACAAAATCTTATGTTTGCTATCTAATGTGTAAACATTCAGAAGAAAGTTTATGTAGGTACCTTATTGATCGTGTCAGCTAAACACTATCATGGCGCAATTGCAATTATTTTCTGCTTAAGCACGAATTATTCCATGAGACTACTATCTTATCTCCTTTACTTAATAATTTATACACACAAATAAATGCCGGCTTTGTTATATGTCATTTATCTATTTATCATGAATCGACGACACTGGTAAACAACTATGTAATACCTAAAATTAATGATCTGAACGGGTAGCTTAAGTTCCTCTAAAGACTAATTTCGAAAATTTGCAACAAACGGTATTGAAATATTAGTGACATTAGAACGAAGGGTAGTTTTGGTATCAATGTCAGGCAGTATTTGCAACATTGTATAAACATAATACTAAATTGAAAATGTTTGTAATCTCATACACACGGCAAAACATCATGGAACTGTGTTGTTTGACGCTGGTTTCTGTAAGATTATGGTGTCACTCCGGTCGAGCATGCTCATCCGTGACGAAGCATCGATCTAACACATAAAAACTATACAGGCTATAGGCTAACGAAAACAGTGGGAAACATACCGGCTGGAGGTGATCTGCGGTGCCTGTGCTGTGTATCGTGCAGTTGTCGGAAGGTCCCGTTGATGCGGTGAATGGCCAGGTCGTGAGGTGACGTAAACACACGTCCTCCGAGGCCCAAGCTATCTAGTAGATGCTCAAATCCCTGTAACCATTGAAAATAAATATTAGTCTTAGTCATATTTGACTCCTGCTCCATTTTACTAGTCACTTAAGAAGTTATCTTTTATTTAAGATTAAGTGCCGATTTTTCAATGATCAGTTAATTCTTAACTGAAGAATAAAATTGACATTTGACAGTTTTTAGTATGGAAGAATTGGCAAATATTTAACTTTATTCCGCACTTATTTATATGGCGTTGGAAAAATCGGCCCTAAGTTATGAAATATTATAGGTAAGTACCTAACGAATATTTTTTTAAAAGGCTGTTACTAAATTGTGTCTTCAGCTTCAGTCTTCAAGGTTTCGTCTTCTTTATCCTAATAATGTCCTACATGCTAATTAATTCAGACGTACGTACACTGATACTGTACAGTACTTACATAGCCAGACAGTTTATAAACTAAGTATGACAAATATTGTTTGTTTCTTTTGCATTTAATAGTTTTTGCAAGACTGTGCTGTGTTACAAACAGCTAAATAAATGTATGATAGTGCAACTTCTATGGTCATCATTAGCGCGCATTGGTTATTACCAATGCGCGCTGGTTTGGTTATTATTATTGGTTATTATTGGTTATTATCAGTGCGCCAAAAAATGGTTTGGCAATAGCCAAACCATTTTTTGGCGCACTGAAATATGTAGTTATTTTCGAAATTATATCTCTATACGTTTATTTACTTATGCCAATAATGAAATCTCTATGGATCGAGCGGTCGCTTAGGTTTACCTAAACCTAAGCGACCGCTCGATCCTTAGAGGTGGTTGAATAAATGAATGCCTTGTTCAAGTGTTGATTTATTTCTTCGGGCATCTGAGTACTCTACTCTGACTAGTTCCGACTGTCCATGTCCAAGTAGATGTTTGTATAACAAGTAACAACCGGTACCGGATTCGGTGGAAAGCTAATGTTTAATAAAACTTTTCCGTTCGTTATCTACCGCATTTACCTACTTAACTTGTTCAGATTACGTATCTACAAGAATTAACATTGGTTTAGCTGTTTTTAAAATACAAGATGGTGTCTTTTCGTAATTCCTAATCAATTGATTAACCGTTTACGGCTTTTCCGTATTTCTAAAGACTTCCTTAGCATCTGCTGCCCAAGGAGTTTTGATATTTTCGCAACAACAGTATCATGTGCTCCATCGATTGCACCAACACCGAGAGATTGTTTAGGATATTCCACCCTTTTAAAGTCGATCTTATCTACACCAGTATTTATAAAATACTACAACATTTGCAAGAGTTACCAGTACTCATTCAGGTGTTCTAGCGCAAAAGGCAGGCGAATTAAAAAGAAAAATAAGCAGCACTGAATTGTTCTCGGTAACAAACTAAGAAAGGTGTTAATATTTAGCATGTTTTACCAAGGAACCCCACTTACGTAAGTGTACTTTAATATGTCCGTGTGTTCTATGTAAGTATGTACTGAAGTCGTTGCGTCAGAAACGGAGTCAAGTTGAAGGACAGTCTGGCCCTAACAAATGCCAATTCGCTATCACTATAATGACTGCAACACCATTTATCGTTTGAGGTAGTGAATATCAGTCAATATTCGCAATACACTATATTTCGATAGCTACTGATTAAGAGATTATGATGTAAAGATAAATTATTAGCACGTTTTATTCGATAATTTGTTTTTATAGATTTACTTAGAATTAAAAAAAAGAAACTGCGTTTGAGATTTTGTATTGTAAACAATTATTCTGAAGTCACTTCTGTATCATGTTGTTTTTAAATGTGAAGTAAAATAGGTATTTGATATGAATAATCCTAAAAAATATAGAGATTAGTTTTAGCAAAAATTTATTGCGTTGAGTGGTTTTCCCAGTGTAAACATGATGATGAAATAAAATCCGAGGAATATAGAAAATATTCCTATTCTCCCCTCTAATTTATTTCGATATCTTCTAATTTATTTCGATCCTAGACAGTTCATGTCTCTGGAACACACAACACATTATACTTCACTGGTTGGCTCTCCTTAGACCTTGGCTTGCATTTGAAATGAAATCATTTTTAATGTATTAACTTATCCTGAAATATTTTGAGGTGTGAGGTGCAAATCTTCCTGACATTACCTATTACAATATTGAATACTTTTCGCATCGAACAAATTTCAACGACCTTTTGTTGATTTCACGGTAAGTTGGTTTCAGATTTAGTCTTAAGTTCCAATCACGTTTTCTTCCACTATAAATACACATGTAACCCAATTAAGTTAAGTTTCCTTAATTTAGCAGAGAATCGATTTTTAATAGTTATTTATCGATCTAAACCCCTTTTATTTCTAAGTACGAGTCTTTATGGATATCGAAACATTAAATGTTGTAATGTTATGTTCAAAACCAAGGTCATAATCGTCAATGTAGATCTTCATTATTTAGTCTTTTAGGCTTTGTTGTGGAGAGGGGAAACTTCTCCCGCCTTGGATAAAGCAAGAGAGAGAGAGAAAGAGTCTCAGACTCATGTTGACTAGAAAATCCAACTCCGTTCCTTCTCTTGCTTTGAGCCGTAACCCCGGTAGCCCACTAGGCCGTACGCAGCTACGAAATTTTCTTTTTGACTTATATTAATGATCATATCTAGTTATTATTATCTGTAAGTATATATACAACAAAAATCAACTTTGAAAACGTTTCAACTTTAAATGGTTTTATCATTTATTATTTAATGTTAGCAACAAATTGAAAACTAATTAATAAGAATACAAGTAAAGTAACAAACCATTCTAAACAATTGTGCAATTGCCTATAATTTCATGCTTTCGGCCTGGTCATCGATCGTTATCAAAAAATATAAATATGTTTTCACAATCATTCAGGTGTTCGTCATGTATCTACTAATAACTTAACGGTAAACATTTCAAATACAAATATTACGCTATATTTCCTGCCTCTGTAGATAGATAACGATACCTCTGTACCTGTCGTCTGGCCATGAATTAGGTACAATTAGATAAGTTATTTTATAAAACATGTGCCTATTTAGTTTAATCCTAATTTTATAATGGTTAAATTAAACATTTAACAATTATTTGTGAAGTAGTTGCTTAATTACATAATTTGTCTAATAGCTTTCTTAAAGACCGTTCTTAGCTAACGTGATCTTATTGTCCTGTTTGTAGTACGCTTTATTTGTTTTGGCCATTCTAGTCAAATCCTGGATGAATTTACTTAGTTCTTTCTATTAACTCGGTATTAAACGAAACTTAAAAATATTCCACTCGTATATATCCCAAACTTAAAACTAATATTTTTTCGAACTTCAGAGAAGCATTCATATAATAATATAATAATATCATGTGCCGCAATACATTCCGCGTAGAGATGCCCAATATTAGTAAATAGTTAACTATAATGACATAATTAGTTATTTACATTATTATATAAAAATTTCAGAACAAATGTAGTAGTCACTCTACAGTAAATTATCAGGTGTTCCTCAGGGAACCGATCTTTGACCATCTTATTTAAATGATTGCAAAATACTTGCAAGAACCTAGCCTTGTATTGTATGAGATAAACAGCTATTAAAGAAGATGTAATTTATTTCTTCCGGGATGACATTATGATATTAACCTTGTTATTACAGGTGTATAATTCTATATGGTGGTTACTTTACCAATTATCCACTTAAAACACGATTGATAATTCAACATCTTCATTTGGAAATTACACTGCATAAGATGATAAAAAATAACTGCATATAAATAAAATGTTTGTCATTATAAAGTAAACAGGTACGTTTACTAATTATAAAAGACAATGTCTATGTAAATAATAATAACAATTCAGTACTGTTTGATTTCCGTATTGTTTGAGATACTTTGATTAAAAGATTATTTTATGTATACAGTCGGGATATACAATACATTGTCAAGTATTGTGTTAGAAATTACAATCGCGCAAAAACAAACATTTACAAAACATTAAAATAATATGAGTATATCTTCTTCATCTCGATCCGAACAACCGTTAATAAATGCACATTTGAACTGCCAATCTCTTTAGACGGAGTCTTGATTTTGCATACGAAATTATAACACAAAAAACATAAAAACAATATTTATCAACAGTTCTATACCTTAATAACGTGGTCATAAGAATCATATTGATACTTTACTAGCAGCCTCTGATGTCAGCCATTTGTTTTGTTAACGGCCAATCACCATATTGAAAGGGCTATACTTATTTCATGATTTCCAAAATTTTCATTCATTATTTTCTAGATAGTGTAAAATTTCAGATTTACGAAGTGTAATTTTAATAATAAATTTGTACGCCATATATGGCAGGATACGCTGGAAAAAAATGCACTGTAACACCTTTTGTACCGTATTTTAGCAAATACATAAACATTTTTGATTTGATTTTGATTTGATTGAACCATTTCCTAGCTATAACAATTCAAGATAACAAAACGAGATTTGGCGAATCGGTTCAATCATTCATGTGTCATGCGATGACCAGGCATAATTAGGAATTTTATACATGGAATTCATTTAGAAAGAGCAGTCATCGACTGCCGAACTAAGTTAAAAAAATAGTTTACCTATCAAACAGACACTTATCCACTTGAAACTACAATCTGGTCTAAGGCGCGTTTCAAAACATCTGGTTGCATTCGGTCCGTGTTTATCTTTTCAATAAGAGAACAATACACAGAGGCGAATTTTTCGTAGTTTGAAGGTTTGACGCTAATTTAGAAATAAAAGTTAGCGTGCTATTATTATGTGTTTGATACGCAATCCGCGTGAGCTCGAACAGCACTGAAAATTAATTTTCGCCTACGTAGGTACTCAAATACTACATCATGTAAACATAGCGATACGTCAAATGTCCAAGCTGCCCAAATAACACTAACTCGAAAGTAAGATGCACTTTATGCATTCGCAATGCGTTAGAATTTAATTAGCATTAAAAACATTTACCGTTTTCCTGATTACACAATTCATGTAATTTGAAAACAAAATAAAGAAACCAGTTACGCCATAAAGTCTGGGGTATTGTATAAATCATTATTAGCGCATAAGATGTACGTAATACGGACACGTGTACCCTGCCCACTTAATGGTGACAGGATAGTGTCGCACGTGTTCAAATTGTTTTTCGTAAAATTAATCCTTAGTTATCTTCATACGTAATTGAATAAAAAATGAAATAACAATCCCGTTGTTTTAAAAATTGTTATTAAACTTGTATGAAAGTTAAATAATAACACTTTTCGCTATGATAATCCCCAAAAATTATGTTTAGTAACATTCCCTTACAACACTCTTTACTACTACTACTGTTTACTTCACGATATTATTTGTTCCACATTCAAAGCACTCGTCTGGTCCCAGTAGACAATCTGCTATTTCCTTTTCCGCAATTATAATCCAGTTCTAGAGACTCAATGGCTTAATACCAAGCCAAGTATTCAAAAGAGAGCTATTCAACAATTTGTTGGTCATTATTTGTGGAAAAGGAAGATACTAAGTTGGCAAAACAATCAATGTTTGTATGGAATTAAGATTTACGTTTCCTACATAGTTACGCATCAAACAAACTACCTAGGCATACAATGAAAGAACAATAAGATGACTGATGTTTGGCGAACATAGGATATGATGCATTGAGAAATGCATACAAATATTTCTGAAGAAACACTTTGCTTATGAAATTTACTTCAAATTACAGTTATCAATAGATGATAGATTTAACTAAATATTGATAAGCGATAAGGAAACAGTCGTAATACTTTAGTACAAATATATAGGTAGTTAAGTTACATTTAAGTTCGATGAACTTCCGTTTATGGAATAGGGAAAGGTATTTTAATGATAACATGTAGAAATTATTCAATTTTACATGTTACAGAGCCACTGATTAAATAAACCTGCCATGCTATCGAATAACATGGTTAATAGTACCTAGTAACTTTTTAAACATTTTACAATAATATTATTGAACTAATTTACCTAGGGTATGTGAAATGTAACGTGCATAACACATAATATGTAGGATACTGTCTATCGATGGTTTAAAGCAGCTGATTGCCTATATGTGTGCAAAATCTTGGAGATGCGTAAACATCGCGATACCTATTAAGTTTGTTCAATTTACGTAAGTAAAGTTTTCTAGTAAAACAACTGCACTCACCTCAAATGTAATGACTCCTTTATCTCCATATTTATCGAATATTTTGTCAATGAAGTATTGCTCAGCAGGGAGGGTGCTGTTAAGCTGGTTATCCTCAGCAGCTCCTGCTTCGACGAGGGTGGCAGTGTTCGGGTCCAAGTCTCCGGTAGAGCCGGCGCTGCAGAGCGCCAGCGCCAGGACTACGACGACGCTCGTTGTCAACATGTTCACGACTAATGTCCGCGCTCGCGGCTCGCACGGTGGCACGCTGAGTGCGCCGGCGGCGGTCCCGCGCCTCCGCACCACACTATCAGCCGATCAGCTTCAACAGCGCTCCGTTGAACGTGATAATGTGACGCGTCGCGTGGCGCTCGCGCATCGGCCGACCGCTCTTTTGTTTGTTTATTTGTTTGGAATTTATGTCAATAATAAAATCGCGAATTGAATTGTACGTTAGACGCAGTTGTAGGAGCGTGTTTGTCACTTGAGGTGAGGTGTGCGTCTGCGACTCTGCGCGGTGACTTTCACCCGTCGCTCTCTGGAGGCTCCGAGGCCGGTTGAACACCGTTACTGATAATAAGGTGTATTTACGAAGTGACCGCCATTAATACAACCTCATTAGATGCCAATTTAATTGCAACGGGTGGGGTAATAGGTTGTGACTAGAGTGACTCTCCCAACCATCAAACGTAAACTCTGAACGCTAGTAGTGTGTGGATCGCCGTGATAATGTTGAAAAATATATTTGATATACGAATTTATACAAGAATTTATTTACAAATCGTATCAAATATGATATTTTTGACTTGTAAGTAGTTATCTATTATCGTGCGAGTCAACAAATGAGCGTAAATATCGTAGCGTTCATTCATAAATACGATGCGTATCGGAAATTATGCTTCGCATTATGGAAATTACTTAGTTTTATTATTAAGTGTCGGGTTTAATGACTCATAAATAAAATAAATAAACAATAAACACGTTGCTGTTGTTCCACTTCCTCCTTACGTTAGAGCGAAACGATGTCTTTTGTTTTTGCAGTCAGATTTTTGGTCTTGCGACAAGATCTTGGCAGTCGGAGCACGTTCGCTGGTTACATATATTATAACGATTACTATTCACAGTATTCACAAGTATGCACGTGGGTTCCTAGGTTCCTACGAAGGTAGTGATCACAAAGAACTACTGTGACGGGCTAATGACAATTATGTAAAGTTATTTTGATAAATAAAGTATTACGGGTATTTATTACATAACTTTGTGGGTCAAGCGTTCAAAGAGTTTTTCTAGTTCTGTCACTGTACCGGCAAATAATAGCGCAAGTTGTTTCCGTAAACTAGGAGAAAGAGTAACAAGAAAATAAACAATAAGGTAATCACTTAGTACGAACCTTGACGTGTTTACACAGGTGGCAAAAGGTGATTAGAAAATTTGCAACAGATCAGTGAACAAGATCATTTGCTGTCTCTGATTGAAAACTGTATCCACGCACCTATCTAGCTTTATAATTAGTTGTAACAACAAGTATGTGGAGAAGGGAAGGTAAATTAATCTGATGCATTAAGCAACCATTCTCATTGATATTTTCATTAAAGGGTTAATTTAAAACACATCTCTTGGTGTATAATATAATTATTATCTGCTCATTTTACTGACCAGGTACATTCTCCAGTAAGGATAGATGGAGTATTTAACAGTATTTCGCTTATTAGCCGTTAAATCTTCTATAATAAACAAGTGAGCTCTACTTTAAATTTCTTTAAACTATAGTAGGGTTAATTCAAGAATATCTAATTGTTGAATGCGTAAGAGTAGTGTGTGAAAAATTGTATTGTTTTCAATTGTGTTCATACCTGCTTCACACGTAAGCAATGCGCTAATCTGTTTCCATTCGTAACGCCCGTGGTTGTTTCACATGAATGTAATTAGTAGTGAAATGTAATTTTATTAATTTTTATACCACTTTCATTTTTACTAATATTTTGTCTTTATTCTGGATGATTTTCTGAAAAAACGATAGTCTTTTCTCAAGTCAAATCCCTTTCGTAAGGAGGTTGTCTTCTCCACTTCTAATAAAGCATTCAATTCCAAATATTGCCAAATTTCCAGTAGTAGGGGTGTATATTTACACCCCTAAAAAACACCCAAAATTTAAATTCAGTGTAATAACAGGGTGTTCCTCGAGGAACGATACTGGGTCCGCTGCCATTTTGAACTATTCCTATCAACCTAAGTAATAAGGTTGCATTTGTGTAAATAAAAATTGTGAAAAGTACATTTTCCGAATTGAAATAATTAATTAGAAGTTGAAATAAGTACCTAGATAAAATATTTATCATAATCACCGGTGCGTCCTGGAGCAACGAAGTTGTATTTTTGGCATGAGATTAGATTATTATTATTTGCAACGTTAAATTAAAATAATCATTAGTAGCACCAGTCATACTTAGCCAATGTTTAGAATTCAAAAAAGTGTCACGAATAGAGTTTCTTGCTTTTCATAGCTCTACTTATGGGCAAACTAACAGACTATTATTTATTTATATTTATTGACGTTTCAAAAATACCAAATTAAGGTTTAATTGAAGTAAACGCTTTGAATTTATTTCTATATTTATGTATATTTGTATGTATGACAGTATCTATATTATAGATCGAATATAGTGCTAAGTAACATAATCAGGAAGGGTCAATAGAAAGTATATAAAAACACATACGTACTTATACCATCTTTGTGCCATTAAACATTATATAAATTATATTGAATGTATTATTTTTCCACTATTGTGTTGTGAGTAAGAACAACAATCATACATAAATACTTTCCAGGGTATGTATGAATGGTAGTTTTTCCTTTATTCAAGTAACATTGTTTATTTCAATTTTATTCTTCTTTATTATTAGTTCGGACATTGCACCTATAATACTGACTACTGCTCTAGCTTTTAGCTTAGAATTAACCTTTATATCCTTTTCTTCTCCGTAACTAACATTGCAACTTTAGCGTTTAGAATATTTATTAGTCTGTTGAAATTGGGATCTCAGTACTATTTTTTCTTTGCAGTGCCCATGCTGCATATTCTTTGTTTATCTTTTCTTTGTTTGTTGATCCTTTGTTTATTTGTTTCATTAATTTTGTGACATTTTTTATGCTGTTGTTCCTATATTTTTGTGATAAATGTATTTTCTTATTATTATACTTTAAAAAAGAGTTTAACGTATAAATGTATTAGTAAGTTACAAATTTGTATCTAGATCATGACAATTTGTTTCTAATAACGTAACGTAAAGCGGTGTGGCCTTAATTTTATCAATGCTATCAATTATATGGGATTACAAAGATATTGCTATGTATAATGAAGTCGTAAATGTACCCTTTGCTAGTAAATAAGGCAATGTCAATGTTAACTATATATGGAGGTTGAATGTTGAGGCAATATACGTGTAGATATTATTGGTGTTACATAATTTGTACTTGTTATGTATACCTAATAGATAAATTGGGTACAATTTTATAATCTGCGTTAGCTTTAGATATGTTGTAGGTACACAATTTTTTGTAATTTATTTTTTTCACATGGTTTTTGTGCTAAAAGCGAGTGAGTACATCGGAGTAAATTCATCGGATAGACATTTCATAATAAAAAAAATAGGGAAGTTCAGTAAAAACTTCTGGGTGGCGCCTACCTGTAATTGATTATTTGAAATGAAATGAAACTTTATTTGTGATACATAGGTACATTTGGTTGGTCATTTTTAGATTAAAGTGCGCTATGATCAGCCTATTTTAGGCATACAAATACTCGTATAAGAGTTTAAATCAGTTCTTAAATTTAATTAAAATAAAATTATAACAATGTTTGTTACTATCACGCGTCACAGGTTCACAGAACAATGTTATACCTAGCTAATCTCCAATCCTAGAGTTTAGAAATCTCCTTCCCAAATTACCGGCAACATACTTGTAATATAACTCCTACTACCCTGTAGTTACGCTATTGGGTAAAAGCTAAAGATTTTTGTCTATTTGTCTGTATGTATGTCCGGGCTAAATTCAAAAAGTACTACCTACATGAATTTACTTAAAATTATGCATGAATTACTAAAAGGTCCGTTAAACATATTGGCTATATATTTTCACGTATCACCTACGGGGGAGGAGCTGCGAATCCCTATTCCATGCGGACGAAGTCGTGGGCACAGCTAGTTAATGAATAAAATCTCCTAACAGTAATAATGTGAAAAAGCAATCAAGACAAAACAATAAAATGAAAAGAAAATAATATCGAATGTATACTTCCTCATTCTATCGTAAATCATAATGTACAAGATCAGCAGTGACGTCACAGATTACCAGTCACTGACGCACTGTGACTAACTTAATAGCCTTTCCAATTGATTTTACTTTAATGTGTAGATTTTATAGTAGAATGAAGTGCCGTGTAGTGACAATAAGAAAATTCTAACACAAATTTTAACCATCTCTGCCCTTCTCTCGGATATCGTAAAAGTCGACTAAGGGATTAAATATGTGACTGAGAAAAGACAAAAGTGTTTTCTGATAAATCTGATACGTTTAAACTGCAATCTCAAATCACCTTGACCAGCGTGAAGACATGGCAAACCCCTCTTACGTATATAGAGTGTAGTGTGGTCCAGCTGTGGAGTTTTTATATGGATTGTGGATGACCTAAGGAAGTTTGTATGATTGTACTTCTTATATCTTTTTTTTACGTTTCCCCACTTTAGGATTTTCTCCTGTGTCGTGGGTGCGTTTACAAACATACATGTTCACTTCACATACACATCACATTCAGACTCGAAACAACAATCTATGGATTGCATAAAGAGTTATTCCGTGCGGGAATCGAACCCGCGATACGTTGCATGGCAGCCCAGCCACGGCGCCAACCGTGCAGTCAATATCTATTAGGTATAGATGTTATATAACCAAAGATATTAAAATAGATTCAAAACGCCCAATGGCCAATCTTTTGATCGTGTATATAGGTCGTTCTTAGGACACTACCACATTATCAGTTATTCGAATATAATAACACGATAAATAGTCTAGATATAAATTGACTCACATATCTATCGACAGCAAAAGAAAGCACTAGAAAATAGACCACAACGGAATTATGCTTATCTATGCCGTAAAAATTGCCAAATCGGGAGTTATCGTAGATAACTAAGTACTTAATGGAGATAACAAAATGTACTTG